ACATCCCCATGCCCTTATTTCCAAAGCAGTGCAACCTGACATTAGTTGAGCTGTCCAGTGTAATGTATGTTGAGCAGGGTCATTTGGCTTTGTTTCTGAGTGCTCTCAGGGGGCCAAGGCTCTGTATGAATTCCTTGGTTGTAAATATCCTTAGTGTGGTGGTTTTCTCAAATGCTGGTTGTAGTAGCAGTGTACTGAGCATGTGAGTAGGCTTTTGGCTTCCTGCAGAGATGGGGAGGTGGAAGTCTCAAGAAGCTTATCTCCTTCCCAAGTACTGCATGCTTATGTCAGCAAATTTTATGTTGGGCTGTGCAGTTTGACGACCAGGCCAGTAGGTGGCACTTGCAGGTAAGCTTGGCTGTGGCTGTAGCAGTAAGGTGTATGTTTGATATTTGTTTACCTGCAGAAGCTCTCTGATGCCTTAGTTCATTGGGTCTGTGTGATGCACAGTGGCCTGGCCTCCACTCTCAGCAACCAGAGGGTGGTGGAGTTGGACAGAGCTGGACCGGGGCTGGCCTGCCCTAGCTGAGATTTCTAAGCAAATTGTTGAAGGAGCAACTTGGTTTCTCCTCACTGTTTATAGTAAAATGTGAGAAGAGAAAAATGCCTCAAAGACTGAATAATTAAGCAAAAAGGAACCAGAGCCTAAAGATCTTGAAAAGTCTCAGTCTTTCCATATCGCAAAAAATAAGAAAGCATGTTCAGAAGAGAACACCAAGGGTGTGGCCGAATGACCATTTGAGAAGGAGATTGGTGTGGGCGCAAACCGAGGATCTGGTCAGCCATTTTAACAGAAGGAACAGGGATGGGGGATTACACCAACAGAAATACTGCCAGCTGGGACTAAAGAAAACAAGGTGGAATAAGGGAAGGCAGAAAACATTCATTACCCTTCAAGAAAAGGAAAGACAGACTCTAAAGGTGAGTCAGAGATCATCAGGGCTGTTGCTCTCACCACAGGCCCAGGGCCTGGGTCTACTTCAGCTCAGTTTCAAAGGGCAGGACCACCTTCCTGGCAGACTGCGTGGGCAGCAGGCTGTGGAGCTGAAGGAGTGGGGCCGAGCCAAAGGGGTGGGGTCACCACGCCAAGCTGTGGGGGTGACTTTTTCACCCCAGTGGGGCTGAAGGGTGAAACCACTGCTCCCATGAGTCCAGAGGGCAGAGCATTGAACCAGAAAAGATTATTCTCAAGCCGTAAGAGTTTCTGGTATTTGCCTCAATCTCTCACTTTTGGTGTGGGAATGTGCATGCCTGTCCCACCACTGTATTTTGGAAGCACATACCTTATATGGTTTCACAGGTTCACAGCTGGAGAGAAATTTTGCCTCAGGATGAGTTGTATATTGAGTCTTACCCATATCTGATCTAGATGATATGTAGATGAGACTTTGGACTTCAGATTTTAGAGTTCATGCTGGACAGAGTTAAAATTTTACAAATATTGTGATTGAATAACTATGTTTTACATGTTAGAAGGGCATGAATTTTAGGGGGCCAGGGGTGGAATGTTAAGAACTGAATGTGCCTCCCAACCAATTTATATTTTGAAGCCCTAACCCCAATGTGATAGCATTTTGAGGTGAGGTCTTCGGGGAATAATTAGGTTTGGATGAGGTCATGAAGATGGGGCCCTTCCCCCATGATGGGATTAGTGTCCTGATAAGAAGAGGAAGAGACCAGAAGTCTCTGTGTCTCTCTCCCTGGCATGTGAGACATAATGAGAAGGAGGCAGTCTGCAAGCCAGGAATGGGGTGGTCCTCACCAGAACTGAATCTGCTGGCGCTTTGATTTTGGACTCTCAGCCTCTAGACCTGCAAGAAATTCAGGTTTCTATTGGTTACGTCACGCAGCCACCAGTCCATGGCGTTTGGTATGGCAGTCCTAGCAAACTAATCACACAGTCTTGGGGGGAAAGGAGGAGAGTGCATAGTAGGGAGCGAAAGTGAATAGGGAATGTGAGGAGATATATCCATTTAAAAGTGCTTTCCAATAATAGATAACTGAACTGGGGTGGGGGTTCCTTGAAGGATAAGCATGAGGTACGTTTATTTAATTCAATATGCAGTTGGCAATTGCAACACGCTCTCAAGGATTTGAAGGAGAATGATGGCTTAGTTATCCACCTTGATGTAAATGTTAGAGGTATGACAAGGCTCTAGAAACTACTGTAATTCATTGAAGCTATGTGCTGTGGGAAGAAGATAAGTGGGTTGAAGAAGTTAAAGAATGAAGTTAAAGAAGTTAAAGAATAGGCTTGTCTTTGTTTTGCTACTTAATTAGTTGTATGATCTTTATATTTAAGGTGGGTTTATAGAAAACATAGCTTGGTCTTACTTTTAATCCATTTTGAAAAATCTATCTTTTAATTGGTGTATCTAGACCATTCATATTTAAAGTTATTATTCATATGGTTGTAATAATATTATGTTTACAATGTTTACTTTTTTCATGTTTACTTTTCATCATGTTTACTTTTTTCAATTCATTGTACTTGCTTTTTTTTGTTTTCTTTCCTATTTATTTACTCATTTGCTTTCTCTGGTTTTAACTGAACATTTTGTGGTTTTGTTTAATCTTTTTTCTTAGCATATCCCTTATACTCCCTTTTAAAATTGTTTAGTGGTTGCCTTCAAATTTGCCATATATATGCACAATTAACCTAAGTAACCTAAGTAACCCTACACTGCCTCATGTCTAGTGCAAGTATGTTATAATGGAATATTCCCAATTACTCCTTTCCACTCTATGACATTGCTCTCATTCAATTATCCATATGCTATAATCACCTAGTGCATTGTTACTATTTCTACTTTAAATGAATAATTATTATTTAGATAAATTAAGAAAAACAAAAATTTTATTTTATCTTCATTTATTCCTTCTCTGACAGTCTCCCTTTCCTTATATAGATATATGTTTCTGACCTATATCGTTCTCCTCCTCCCTGAAGAAATTCTTTCAAAATTTCTCACAAGGCAGGTATACTGGAAATGAATTCCCTCAGTTTTTGTTTGCCTGAGAAAGTGTTTACTTCTTCAATTTTGAAGAATAATTTCACTAGATAGAGAATTCTAAGTTGGAAATGTTTTTCTTTCAACACTTTAAACATTTTGCTCAATTTTCTTCATGCTTTCATGGTAGAAATCTGATGAGAAGTCTTGACATAATCCTTATCCTTGCTCCACCGTAGGTAAGGTGTTTTATTCCTCTGGTTCCCTTCAGGTTTCTCTCTTTGTCTCTGGTGTTCTGCAGTTTGAATATAATGTGTTCAAGTGTAGATTTTTTGGTATTTTTCCTTCTTGGTGTTCTCTGAGATTCCTGGGTCTGTAGTTTGGTGTCTGTCATTAATTTTAGAAAATTCTCAGACATGATTACTTCAAAGATTTTCTTCTGTCCCATTCTCCCTTTCTTCTCTGGTATTCCAGTTATGTGTATGTCACACCTTTTGAAATTGTCCCATGGTTCTTGAATGGTCTCTTTTTTGTTTTTAATCTCTTTGTTTTTCAGCTTGAGCGGTTTCTGTTGCCATGTCTTCAAGCTTATTGATTCTTACCTTGGCCATGTTGAGTCTACTGATGAACCCATCAAAGGCAATCTTTTTTTTTTTTTTTTTTGAGACAGAGTCTCACTCTGTTGCCCAGGCTAGAGTGCCTTGGCATCAGCCTAGCTCACAGCAACCTCAAACTCCTGGGCTCAAGCGATCCTCCTGCCTCAGCCTCCCGAGTAGCTGGGACTACAGGCACAAGCCACCATGCCCGGCTGATTTTTATATTATATATATTAGTTGGCCAATTAATTTCTTTCTATTTTTATGGTAGAGACAGGGTCTCGCTCAGGCTGGTTTTGAACTCCTGACCTTGAGCAATCCGCCCGCCTCGGCCTCCCAGAGAGCTAGGATTACAGGCGTGAGCCACCGCGCCCGGCCAGAGGCAATCTTAATTTCTGTTGTGTATCTTTCAGCATTTCCTTTTGATTTTTTCATAGTTTCCACCTGTCTTTTTACGTTACCCATCTATTCTTTCATAATGTCTACTTTTCCATTAGAACTGTTAACATATTAATCAGTTATTTTAAATTTCCTGTCTGATAACGCCGCCATTTGTGTTACATCTGAGTCTGGTTCTGAGGTTCTTCAGACTGTGTTTTTTCTTGTCTTTTTGTATGCTTTGCAATTTTTTTTTACATTAAAATCCATACATATGTATCAGGTAATAGGAACTGAGATAAAAGGCCTTTAGTGTGATGATTTATGTTAGTCTGGCAGGAGTTAGGCTGTGGTTAATGTTTGCTATAGCAGCAGGTGCCAGAGGCCTCAAATTCCTCTAGTGCCCTCATTGTTATCTCTTTTGTTGTCTTTGGTTTTCCCTAAGAACACTTGCATAGAGTCTGCACCTTACAGCTCTGGTAACCCACTGTGATAATATGGGGTTACTGTGGATGGCAAGGTGTGTGGCAAAGTGGCAAGGTGGCAAGGTGTGTGGGTAGGAGAAGCCTATAATTTTATGATTAAATCTCAGTCTTTTAGTGGGCATGTGTCTCTGGGCTATGATCTTCACATGTGTTTCACAGCTATTTTTTTCAGCCCTGAGGTGAGACAGGAAGACTAGAGGGGCTGGAATTGGATAATACCCTTTTTCCAGGTGGGATAAAGATCTGGGAAAGCCTTTTCCCTTAGAGAGTAGGCCTTTGTTATGGAGAGTGCTCTGAACATATTTCAAAATGGTTACCTTTCCCTCCACCTGCCAGAGCTAGTGGGAAGATCTTTTCCTCATCATGAGAAACTGGTAGGGTTTCTAGATATAAAACCCATGAAAGTGTGGGATCAGGGTCTACCAAGGGAAATTCACCCCTACTCCTTACCTGGCAGGATTTCATAACTGCTATAACCCAGAGACTGCTGCGTGTGTTTCTATTCTTGCCTTTGCTGAATGGGGTTTTTTATTGCGGTGTGTATGTTGGGGTGAGGGTGGGAAAAAGATAACTTGTCTTTTATTTTATAGGCTTTCAGATCATCAGTGTCTGCATCTGGATCTCATGGAGAAGCCTAAGCATCAACCAGAGGTCCTTGACTTTGAGCAGGATGCAAGAACTGGATGAGATTCTGGGTCTTTGAATCCCCAGAGAAGAAACCTACCGACTCATGAGGAACACTGTGTTCAACTGTTAGGTTAGTGAGAAAAAAATATCTATTATTTAAAACATGGAAGCCTTGGGGCATATTTGTTATAGCAGTTAGCTTTATTCTAAGTTTTCACATCAATTTTGTGTTTGTTTTATAAGAGTGTAACATATTGATAAAATAAGCTAATAAATTTTAAAACCTGTGTTTTCTTTTATTAGTCCTAAATTTTTTCTTCCTCAAATTTGAAAAGGCAATCCATTGTATAAGAATTTCATGATTTGGTAAATACAGCTTCCCTTTTTAAGCCTGTTCATTACTGTCTGAACTTGAACATTTCTCCTCTCAGATTTATCCTTCTAAGTCAGTTGGTCTGTTTTCATATAAACACCTTCAAATATACCTATCATTTTAATTGTCATTCTGTGGATTAAACCCCTGTTAGAACTTGGTTCAAAATTAGAATCACTGCCCTGTAACTATTTAGGTCTGGCTACTAGATTAATGAAATTCAAGAAGAAATGCCCTCTTGGGTACACCTGAAAGAAGTTTTGAAGACCAGAGACTTGGGTTCCTATTCTATCCCTAACACTTTCTACTTTCTCTCCCTTCTTCCTTCCTTCCCACCCTCCTTCCTTCCTTCTATCAAACATTTACTTAGTACCATATGAATTAGAATACTGATTTGGCTGCCGCAACAAAGACCAAAACAATAATGACTTGAGCAAGATAGAAGTTATTTTCTTTCTCATGTAAACATCTTATCTGAATGTCAGCAATCCAAGGCTGATGTGGTGGCCCCACGGCAATGGGCACCATCTCCAACACGCTGCTTCCACCCCACCATGATGTCTGCATATGAGCCCCAAGAAGGGAACAGAGGGTGGTAGAGCATGCATCCGTCTTCCTTAAGGCCACAACGTAGGGGTTACCACATATTTCTGCCTATATCCCATTGGCTGTGATTTAAACACATGGCACAGCTGGCTTCAAGAGAAAAAGAAAGGGAATAGGGAAACTCACAGGAAGCTGCCTTACGTGGGCTTAAGAGTTAAGAAAGGCTTCTTGAGCTGAATACTAAGGGATGAATAGCAGTTACCTAAGAGAAGAGGTGGGGGAAGAATGCCAGGTGCAGGGACCAACCTGTGACAGGCCTGGAGAGGATGAGAGGTCACAGCAGACTTATGGAAATGAACATGGGTCCATCGATACAGCCAAAGCCTGTGGGGGGAGGGCGCAGAGGGTGGAAGTGAAGGATATCGCAAGAGATGAGAGATGACATTGGAGAGGAACCAGAGCCTAAATCCTAAGGACCTTTTATGTTGAAAAATTTGGACTTTATTCTGAGGGCAATGGAGAGCCATTTAACAGTTTTGGGTAGGGAGAAAAATGATTACATTTTTATTTTTTAAAAAACCTACTCTATCTGTAGGTTATAGACATGAGCACAGGTGGGTAGAATTTGAGGCAGGGACTAGCACCAGGGTAGGAGTCTGCAGCTGTGATCCTCATGGGGCGTCTGGTGGCCCTTTTGGAGAGGTGTCAATGGGCACGCAAAGAAGTAGCCAGAAACCAGAAATATGCAGGTGGCTAAATCAACAGGATCTGGTGATGGATCAGATGCGAGAGGTGAACAAGAAGGAGGAGTCCGGGACTCCTCTGAGAGGAGTCTGTTCCAGATTTCTGGTTCAGACACCCGGATGGTTTGTATCTCTGCTTCCTGAGATGGTGGTCACAGAAGACCAACAGGCTTGGAGGGGAAGATGAAGGAACAGCTTGGGAATTAGTAAGTTTGAAATGAGCGTGGGGCAACCAAGAAGAAACATCTAGTAGGCAGTTGGTTGGATATATGAGTCAGAAGCTCAGAAAAGACATGTAGACATAAGGTGCAGATTTCGGTCTAAATCAGCAGTCAGAAATTTTTGTTTGAGAACTTTCTTTGTGCCAGACACTTTTCAGAAGTTGTGCTTGCACCGTGGACAAAACACACAAAGTTCTGGGGGCTCACGAGGCTTGTATTTTCATATAGGTGGTAAGTGAAGATCTGCAAGTACACATTTTTGCCCAGGGAGAGTAGTAACAGAAAATAACCTGGCTTTAAAATACGGAGAAATTAAAATTAAAGGGTGGGCAGAGGAAAGGAATCTAGAAAACAAACAGATGGCCAGCAAGGTGTAAGAAAAACCAGGGGCGTGTATCAGAAGCTGAGGAAAGTCAGTATTTCAAAAAGGGAGTATTAACTCCACTCAACAAAGCTGAATGCACATGCTTCATCCAAGAACCCATAATCTCCAAGGCAGTCCATATTCAGGGCTCAAAACAAACCTCAACAAATTTAACATAATTGAAATCATGCAGACTATGTTTTCTGACTGTAATGGAATCAAACTAAAAATCAGTAACAGAAAGACAACAGGAAAATCCCCGAACAACTGGAAATCTCTACATAACTTCTAAATAACCGCTTAATCCATGAGTAACAAAATCTTAAAGGAAATTTTAAAAATACAGAGAACTAAATGAAAAAATCACAACATGTCAGGATATGTGGAATGCAGCTAACATAATGCGGACAAGGATATCTGTAGCACCAAATGGTTACATTATAAATAAGGAAAGGTTTAAAATCAATTGTCTAAGTTCCTGCCTCAAGAAACTAGAAAAAGAAGAGTAAAATCCAAAGCAAGTAGAAGGCAAAAATAAAGATCAGAGCAGAAACCAATGAAATTGAAAATAGAAAAAAAAAATCAATAAAACAAAATCTGGTTATTAAAAAAAATTAACATTAATAAACCTCTACCAAGACTGAAAGATAAAGAGAAGACGCAACACAGTAATACCAGGAATGAAACAGGGAATTATTACACAAGCATAGGGAAATTCCATTTAAGTCAGTGGAGTCAGCAGAAGGTAGAGTGTAGTGGATTAAGCAGTGAATGGGAGGTGAAGAAATGTAGACAGTGAAGGAAGACTATAATTTTAAGTTTGGGGTGTGTCAATATCAAATTAAAAATCTCTAAGCTAAAGGTTTTATTTGGGAATATACAAACAACAGAATTGCAATTCAGGATGTACACACTGAGCTGGGTGGTCTCTAATATGTCTGAAGAACAAAGGGAAATTTTGTGTTTTATGGGGAAAGAGAAAAGTTATGTAAGTTGTTTTGAAAAGAAAGTTCATTGGTGCCTGTGGTGTCCTTGGGGAGCTGGCGTGGTCTGATTGCTGAGTGACAGCAGTTGCAAGGTAAAACTCATCATTTTAAAGTCTCAGCGGGCTGTTTCCTTGGACTGGGTTTAGGAAATTGTGTCAGGCAGGCATTCTGGGATGAGTGGCTAGCTGTCCTGGTGCTGCCAGCTGTCCTTGTGTGACTTGTGTAGTAAGCTGCAGTTTGGAAAGTTTTCTTGTGATCGTTTCACCACAGCTACACCGTGGCTTCTGCTGACTCCACTGACTTCAATGGGTTATCCTACTGGATTTGTTTTGTTATCAGGCAAATCCTGCTTGACAGCCCTCCTTTAGTGGTTGTGGCCTTGCCTGGCTCCATTTTGAACCTGGCGACTTTCACAAGTGGGTGGGGGCTGCTGGCGAGGGCAGTGCTCTGTCTGGGGTGGGGTTTTTCAGACTCCTGGAGAGAACCCTGGAAACACTGAGTGCTGCTGGGAGAGAGCCAGGTAGGGGAAGGGGCGCAGACACAACAGAGAGAACAGAGGGAGGGTAGCTCAGGCGCAGGAGGGGCCGGGCCGGGGTAAAGGTGGGAGGCAGGGGGCACAGCCCTCCTACTGTGCTGGACCCAGGGAGGGCTAAGGCAGACGGAAGTGTGATGCAGAGAGTGTGCAGATTCAACACCGCGCGACGGTGGAGAAGCTCTCATCCGAGGGCATCTGTTTTCTCTGCAGGGGACGAGATGGTCTGCTGACAGTAAGAGAGCAGAGTGGAAGTTTGAGAAAATGGAGAAGGTTGGAATAGACACTGTGGTGAACGGGAGAGCCAAGCCAAGAAGCCAAGGGAAGCTGCTGGGACCATGCCACGTGAGGCCCTCAGTCGGTGGTCAGTGAACGAAGAGCAATGAAACCGAAGACCATCAGGGTGAAAACAATGGATCTGAGTCAGCACATGTAGCTCAGAGCCACTCTTGTGGGGTCTGGTGTCAAAGTGCTGGGGCTCAAATCCCCAATCTGAGCCTCCTGGGTGTGTGCAGCCCACCCTGAGTGAGCAGGACAAGGGGCAGATGAAATGCAAAAGGGAACATGTCATGAAAATTGCCAAAGCTGTGAGCTAACTGGAGTTCCCTATTTTACTTTGGTATTCATTTTTAAATTTCCATAATAAAATTAAATCCTCCCCCATTACCTAAATAATGGCACCAAACTTGCCTGCAGAGTACAGTTGGTGCCATAGCTCCCTAGGCACCAACTCGCTATGCTTCCCATACAGTGAACAGCCCTCCTCCAGGCCCTCCTCTAGCCATGGGGACACACGCTCCTCTTGCCCCCACCCCCACCCCTGTGCTGAACCCTGGTCTATTCCAGCTCCCCATGTGCACTTCCGCTTGGCCCTCCTCCTCAGTGTGGGCCACACCCTTTGCCCTCACGTGTCCAGAGGTCATGCCGGTCCAGGGCGCTGGTCACACCAGTCTGCCTCTTCTGCTCTGCCTGCCTACTGCAAACCCCCTAGCGCAGTCACCACCATCTGCCTTGGGTGGCTGTACCAGCCTGTTGGGAGGTCTCCCAGCCTCAGGTTTTTATTTTCTCCTACTTCTTCTCCCCACCGTGGCCCCCATGAACTTTCTCCAGGACAAATCAGAGTCCCGGAACTGTGTTAGTTAAAACCTTTCCATGGCTGGCGGCCCATGTAAGATAAAATGCACGGTCCTGAATGCACCACCTGGCCCCTGTAGAGTCCTGCCTCCTCTGTGCCACCTTCACCCTCATCAGCAGCAGGTTGGCCACCCTGAACCCCTCTCTTCAAGTTCCCCAAATGTTCCTGGTCTAGGTCTATGGCACGCCTTGCCACAGGCTAGAACACTCCCCCTCTGCCTCTTCTCCCAGGTGCTCAGGCTGTCTGCAGGGCTCTCCCTGAAAGGGAGGGGCCCCCCAGAGCCTCTGTGCGTGGGGCCAGGATTGCCCCCGGGGCTGTTGCACCTGACCCTGCTCAGGTTCTCCCCACAACGCACAGATACCTGTGGAGCTGATGCTCCACCAACTACAGTCAGATAAAGAACGTTGTCCCCACCCTAAGAAACTGACATTCTGTTTATGCTGCTTCTTCCCTTGCCACAGGAGGAAAGCCCTTACAGAAGTCTGAGCAAAGTCAGAGCTCCCACCCCACAGTGCCCTTCCCTCCCTGCTCCTCCCAGCCTTGGATGCCGCTGGGCAGAGGCCTTCAGAGGCCGGTTTGCAGCCTCAGATGGACCTTATTCTTTCCCTCTTAGTTTCTATCAATCAGACATGAAAGAACCATCTTGGACCAGCCTGCTCCTGGTTTCTTCTGTGAAGTCTGGTAGGAATGTGATACTTTTCTGAGCCTCTGCAGTGCACCTAGGACCCTTTCCGAACTGGCTGCTTACTTTTCTAATGAGCTCTTTCTGTTCCCATGCTGGCTTTCAGCCCTTCTGTCTCCATGCCCTGAGATGGTGCACTCTTGTCACTTTGCTAGCAAGTTAATAAACTCAGATACATGCCCAAGATAGCACGTTTTAACGCCACACACCTAGCACACCCCTTGAAACCCTCTGTGATGCCCCCCTGCCCAGACTAAGTTAACCACAGCCGACCCACCTGCCATGCCCTGAATATGGCTGCATCCTTGGGGCTTCTCTCCTGCCGGCTACACCTTCTGTAATCCTCCCCCATGGGCCTGCCAAGTCTGCCAGGAGCCTCCTCCTGTGACTCAAGCGGACCGGTGTAGCCCTGTCTGAGCACCTCCCACACCTCTTCCGGGAACCCGTGGTTCTGCTCAGCTCTGGAACCCCAACCCCCAGTGCAGGGCATGGCATGTCCAAGGGACTTGGAAAACATATGTTGAGTAATTTAAATTTAGTCAGATAGATGGCAGGCTGCCTTTGTCTCACATTTATGTGCTGTCTTGATTATTTTTCCCCCTTTGATCCAGGCTTCTGCTGGTCCCCTCATCTGGACATCTTGGCAGAGCAACCCATGCTGGGGTTTAGAGTGGGGAAGTGGGGGTTGGGGGTGCATCGTCCCCTAGTAACTCTCTGGGACCCTCTCCCTGGTAGGAGGCTCTTCTCCCCAGGAACCTGAAGTGGAAGCCACCTGGGTCCCCTGCACACAGTGATCCGAACACCTCTGCATGTATCCAGTCAGCTCCTGTGAAAATCAGGTCTCATCTTGGCTGAGGACACTACACGGTAATGGTTCTCAACACAACCAATAAATCTGAAATGTGTGAGAAGGAGCGAGATCCAGTGAGAGAGAAGCAATTAATACAGACCCATTAAGTCAACTAATATTATTAAACATTTAAATTTAGAAATTGCCCTCCTGGTATAAGACCACTTTTTAGAGGCAGAGCTGCTGCTTACATCTCTTTCACACCCAGGCTCCGTGACTACGGAGACTGCCCAGGGGGCCTGTCCTCTCCAGCCCCCCCGCCCCCGGCTGCCCCTCCCTGGTGTAGCTGCCTGGGAGTGGACTGAGCCCTCAGCACCGGCCTCAGTCCTGAGGGGGCCCAGCTGGGATCCGAGTCCCCAGACTGGGGCAGTAACTCAGGGGCAGAAGGAGAAGGACCACGTGCTTTAGGGCTGAGAAGGGAGGAAGAGGATTCTGGGGACTCAGAAGGAAGTCTGGGGACCTCTGTGGAGGCTGAGGGGCTGCCCCACTGGTGGGGAGGTGGGGTGAGGATAGGGGCGCTGTCCAGGAACCAGGCTAGGGGTGACGGTGGGGTGTCCATGTTCTGGACATACTGTGACATGGTGACATGTGCAGGAGAGTCTCTGGTAGCAATCCTACTTGTTCAACAAAATATGTTAGGAAATTAACCCAAATGCCAATAGGGAGGAAAAAAAACACAACCAATCCAGGTGGCCAACCTTTTGCTTCTGAGAGAAAATGCTATTTTAATTAGGACTAACTTTAAGGCCTTAAATTCACATACATTATTCAACACTGTTACATCTCAAACAGGAGAGAGGTAATCAATCAGCTCATTAGGTCTGAAATTTTAACAAGACTCTGCTAAAACCTTATAGGAAAACCACCCACCTGTCACATCCTTGGTGAGTCAGTTGAGGACGGACGCAAGGCAGGGCCCCACTGCCCTCCGGAGCAGCCCGTGTGTGCCCAGGCCTGTCTGCCCGTCACCGGCCTGGGGGCAGGGGAACTAGTGGCCTGGGGACACCTTCCCTAGGAACTGCAGCCCATAATCGGGTTTGGCACATGTTTTAAATTTTATTTTACTTTCACATTTACATAATCAAGAAACCATTTTGAGAAAAGCAAGGTTGAGGCTGCCTTTAGGAAAAGCCCAGCTCACTCCTCCTGCCCTGGTCTCAGCGGCGCCATGCACACCTGAGCGCTGGAAACTGGCCTGTCATCTCTTCACGGCCCTGGCTGCTGGACGGCATCTGAGTCGCTGTGGCTTGCTCCTCACTGGTGGCCGCCTCAGTGTCTGGAAGACACGTTACTGGAGGCTGCCTCAGCCAGGATTTTATTGCTGGTGAACTTGACTGCCCAACTTCTAGCCGTGATGTCCAGAACGGTGGCATTATCAGAAATGGGCTGTGTTGTATGCGTTTTGCTGAGATGAAAGGAACTGAAATGTCTAAACTGCACTGAGTTCTGAGATACTGGCATGCTGCCCTTACTAGTGCTTGGAGGTCCCTGGTAGAGACAGGCGGAGACTCCCTGCTGCCCAGCCAGGCAGGACAAGACAGGACAGACGTGCCCAAATCCACGGCAGCCTGAGCCCCCAGGCCCAGCCGGCTCTCCCTTGCCCATGCCACGTTCCTTTTACAGCCCCTAAAGACGTTCCTCAGGTGGAACTCCCCTCACTTTCCAAAACTGTATCTCTTGTGGTGGGTGAGAGAAGCGCTCAGCAGATGAGGCTCAGGAACACGGACCAGCTTAGCAGGCATGGATTCTGGAAACATGGGCTGCTGGAAACCACCTCGGGGCACCGATGAACGTCACAGGAACACAGTCATCATGAAAGAACGGTCTGCCTTCGTGATCACAGCTGCACCAAGATGAAGGCCAGAGGTGTCACTCTGTTCCTCAGATGTGATGCTGTGTGAGCGCCTATGATTTGTGCAGCCCCTTGGCTTCTCCATCCCTCCTCAAAGTGCTGGGTGCCGTTCCTGCAATCCCCTGGTGATAGGCGGGACACCCCTGACCAGCCAGGAGAGCCGCAGCTGTGCCCCCTTTGATGGCTGAGGGAGGTGGCTCCTGATGCCGTGTGGTGTTCCTCCCTGTGGGTCTGTCAGATGCAAATGTTTAGTCTTTTCTCTGCTCTGAGGACAACAAAGGCCACCGGCATCCTAACGACACTCGTGATGGGGGTGGTACGGGGCCCTCAGTGCATCTTATATCCAGACTAAGTCATAATAGTCAGGGGCCAGTATCATTTACCACTGTGCTCACAGGCCCATGGGAGCTCTCGGGGGTTCTAAAAGGAAAAGTGTGACGGAGGAAGTGTCATTTCTGTGCTCAGACCTCCACCTGGTTAGCCCCTGGTCTAACAAAGGTATGTGAATTTGCTGGTCCTATACATTAGTTTAGCAAAAAATCTGGTTTCTGATACCCAAAGAGCTTAAAGTCTCCTTCAAAACGCGCATAGAGCCGTCGGATGTCTCGTTTGCTGATGCCCAGAAAATAGTGCTCCACCTTGGTTCTATTATACACGGTAATGCCCGGAGGGATGGTTGGGTAGGATACCAGGTGGTCTATGCCGGCTTCCTTTAAGATGTATGGGGCATCGTCCTCCAGGGTCTCGTGGTGTCCAATCACACTGTATTTTATCTCGCAGGGTGCACAGAGTTCTACATATGTCACCCAGTGAATGATGTGGTCCCCAAACTGAAGGTCTAGCCATCTGTGGTTTGGATCACCCAGGTAGCGCACAAAATCTTCAAACTGGATCCCCCTGGTCTCTGTCCGGTTCCTCCTGTATTTTCTGATGATGCCAGGGGCAATCTCATGTCTATACCAAGGTTCAAACCGGGGATTGTGAACAAACTTATCTTTAAATGCAGAAATAAGTCTTTCAAAGGGATCTCTTACGATAAAAAACTTGAAGTATGTTTTCAAGCTAAGGAAAAAAAAATGAGAACAAACAGGGTTAACTCAATGCCACTGGAGTTAATGGTGAAGAGGGTGGGAAGAGTAAAGAACAAACAGAGTAGCTGCTGCCGTTTGCTGAACCCTCACTTGGGAAAGCCCTGCCATGCATCTCTTACTAGACCAACCACGAGATTTTGTGGATTAATCCATTTTACAGGTGAAGAAATGGAGGCTTGGAAAACCTTGACTGTCCAGGGCCACAGTACTCATCCTAGGGGGTCACTGTAAAGACGACATCCATTTAATCTATGTTTTGTTTTACTTGAATCATTCAAAACTTCAAGAATGTTTAAAGTTTTGTTCCTGGGCAGAAAATCTTAAGGGCAGGAATACTCTCAGTGAATCAGGAATACCTGAGACCAGAGAAAGTTACTTTAAGGGCATACCTTTAAATATTCGACTCAAAATGGCCAGGGGAAGGAAAAGCAATAGGAAAGGGGGGGCATGAGAAAATGAAGAGCGAGGAGAGCGAGGCTGCGCCCTACCGCCAGCAGGAGCAGTGGCCTGGCAAGCGGCCATTGGGGCAGCAGCAGAGCAGCGGTCCTGGCAAGCAGAGACAGCAGCAGTGAGACTGACAGGGACAGTGATGCCATCAGTGCATTAAGGTGTGCCTACCACATGCCAGAAACGGCTTTCCTTGCTTTGTGTGTCTTAGCTGAGTCTTACAAAAGCCCCATGAAGTCAGTGCTTAGGTGATGACAGGGCACTTTCCCTAGAAGCACCTCTCCTAAGGGTCTGTAGAGCTGGGCAGACTGAATCAACCAGGGCCAGACGCCGTGCAGGGCAAGGGAGGGCAAAGCCCTACTGGCGGCCTGGCAGTCACTGCTTTCTGCATTCTTGCTCCTTTTAAACCTCGCTCCACAGGGCCATCTGATAGCTCATATGGGGAACCTTCCCATTTATTAGCTAAGGACCCACCCTTGCTACAATCAGGGGTCTGTCTCTTGGCCCTGCCTGTGTGGGGACCAACCCACGACACCACTCTGGAGGCAGGCGCAAGGCCTCTGGGAAAACGAAATGCTCAGTGGGATCTCCCTCCAACCCAAATCCCTTTCTTATAAAGCAAAGATCATATTCAGCAAGAAATCCACAAAACTTAATGGTACCAAAGCAGAACACAGTTGACCACTCATTTCTATTAATACAATTTCATTTTAATGGACTGTGTGACGGTAAAGCTGGAGAACATGTTCAGAAATTCGAGTAAGGACCTGAATTTAAGTGTGCTGAATGCTGGGCACGTGCTTGTCGGCACAAACCGACAGTCCCCAGGGGCCCTTGAAGTGAACTGTAACACTTGGTGAGTACAGAACCGAGCCTGGGGTTTTTTCAAAATTTTTTCTCAGGTTTTCAAAATCCCCCTTCCATTTGAGGAAGCTACTCTTACCGCTTCTGAATTTCTGCATTGCTGAAGGAGGAGAGGCGAGGGAGGCCATTCTTCTCATGGTCATGAACCACATTTTCAGGGATCTCTTCGATGGAAGGAAACGCTCCTGGGAAGTAAACAGAACAGAAGGTGTGTTGGCCACCTTGGTGCAACCCTCAGAGACGACGCCTGTCCATCTCTATCCTCGGGCCCCATGCTGCCCATGGCGTGCACGACAAGCCTGCCCCTGATATCCTAATTGAGGTCTTTGAATTCCAACTGTTTCTGCCGGCAGGATGAGACAGCGAAGTAAAGCTTTTGGGAATCCATAAGCCAACTGGAGGAAATTGATGATTTGGGGAGGAAGGAGGAAAGACCAAGGGTGGAAATACTGGCAGTGCCTGCCCCTGGCAATGCACCTAATTTGGCTAAATCTGCCATTAAAGGAAGATCACTGCATGCAAACAGAACTCCTAAAACCAGCAATACATATCCTACTCTGAGACTGGGGGGAAATGCCAGAGGAGCAGGACTGTGGAACACAGCGCTATCGCATGCCCACTGCACGTCCCGGACCCAGCACTGCTGGCAGGCTAAGCTCTCCCAGTGCAGCATCCCAGACTGGCAAGTGGCAAAGACTTCTGGTGCTGGAAAAATCTGGCTCAAGTTGTGAGAGCTGCGACACATCTGAGACAGGAGTCAGAGGAGGACGCGACACGTCTGAGGGCAAGGCAGGCAGCGTCAGCAGCCAGAGTCCATCATCTGGGCTCAGCACTGCATTCAGGCTGCTGAATGGAACCTGGGAGGGCATCCCAGGGCTGGTGGCTGGGCAGCTTTTTCACTCTTCTCAATGTAGACAAATGGAAACACAATGTCATTATGCCAAGAAGGCTTTAGCTAAGCCTCTGCAAACCTTAACATCCATCTTTCTGCTAACCCTGTCATGTCAAGATCACAGTCCTGGCAGGGAACAGTCTCTCTTGGGCCATTTGAGCAGTGGCCATAGCCTTGTCTGTTTCACGCATTCTTTCCTCAGACTGTTAAGCTCCACACAGAACTCTGTGCTACATGCTGTGGATGGCTGTGAAATGAGAAAGAGGAGCACTGGTTTTGAAGCGGATGGCAAAAGGACCACTCTGTGGATCTGCACCTGGACCCACCTGCAGACCTGTCCCCGTCCAGGTGCATCTAAAGATGACTGAAGACAGCCACAAGGAACGCCCGCTTCTTCATTATATGACCTGGTGAGCCCATTCCTATTTTCATCCTGCCCTTGTGAGTTTTTACTTCTTTAAAGTATGATACTTCACACTGTGGCAGCCTATTTGTTACTCTTTTGTATAGTCCTTGTTTTCAATTTGATTTGTAACTTTGTTCTCCAATTTCAAAACCACAATATGCTTTTAGACTACTCCAGAGCGCATTAATTATATACCTGATGACCACAAGACCCTTCTCTCTCCCAACCAACTTGTGTAAAGGCCAAACGGCAGCCACCGCTGACCACCGCTGACCCTGAGGGCAGCATGTGGAGGAGGAGGAGCCCCAGGGGCACCCACCGCAGGGCCCCAAGGTCTGATTCCTAATCTTGGAGGCTCACTGCTGTCCACTGGAGCTAAGTTCCTTTTGAAACTGAATTTAATAGACAGAGTCCATAATTATCTTGGATCATTTCAGACTAATTGGAATTTAAGCAAACAAACATGGTACCTGAAGAGAGGTGAGTATTCAAAACCATAGTGCATGAGGCCACTTTTCGATGACCTAATTTGTTCTCTAGCAAACATCTAGCAAACATCAAATTTCCTGAAGCAAGCTGACTAAATCCTCTGAATAGAGTGTAAAATGGGAGACAATTTCTTTCTACCAACTGGCACAGAATACATGTCTGCAGCTGCAGAGGCCCAGGCCTTATGGCAGGATCCTCTCGCAGGCTCTGGGGCATGGGCCCTTCTTCCTGCAGAGGGGACTGTGAGGGCCCCTGACTCACTCAGGTCAGAGCATTTGGCTGTGAGCATCAGCTCAAGAAGCTGAAGAGAAGACAAGAGACCCATGGGGTAGGCAAACTGCCTGTGGTAGCGATTTGCTATGAAAGGCAAGAAGATCCTGAACTATAGCTCTGAACTACAGACCTTGCCCGTGCCCCTTCAGAAAGAATTAATGTCTACATTGACCTAAACAACTTTCAAGGTACAAGACTAACAGGAAACAACAACAGAGAACTGCTCGTGGAGCTGCCAGTCATTCAGGAGAAACCACCCCCTTCTTTGACTCCTCTCTGCTGCCCCCTGCCCAGGCCACTGGGACCTTCCCCAGGCCAGTCCTGGACGTAACAGACAAACATTTGCTGGCCTCACATGTACCGTTTAGAACGATCAGAACTTTCTTCCACTGGGTGTTGCCCACTTTGGGAGTCTGGCAGAAAAGAATCTTGTGCTTGTCACAGACAAATATTCGGTCCAGGACAAACTTGGAGACAGCAGTGTGCGAGAGATTCTTCAGGGCTTCGTTTCTGCAGACATTTCTGATGAGTTCCAGGCGCTCCATGTAGACCAGGGGTTGAACAAGCCGGCTGTCAGGAAGCACCTTCCCAGTCGGCTGCAGACAGGCACAAGGTGGTTAGGAGGACATGGGAGAGAGACCCAGCAGGAGCCACTCCTGCCAATCCGTCCCCCCTTCCTCACCATCCGGGCCTTCTTGCTCATCCTTCCTCCCCTTTTTTACAGCATGACAACCACTGTTCCCACCCACTCTCCAGGCCTTCCTCTGGGCTTCCCATGGCCCCGAGAAGTCATGGAGAGGAATCAGCATGGTGGACAAGGAAAACAGAAGCAAACTTGCTTCGTTGGACTTTCCTTCTTGAGAGAAGATTGACTTTAAAAACCCAAAAAAGATGGTTGGAATCCACTTGCTAGAAAAAACAAATAAACCCTGAAAAGATGAAAAAGTTGAAGTCCTCAATGATGGCACAGCCTCTGTGGGCCATCTTGGAACCTAAGAGAACACCCATGACCCGGGAGGCCTTTGGTTGGCACAGTTCAAACCCCTGCTGCTATACGAGGTGGCGGGGTCATTCCTTCCCCAGCTGCCTGTTGAGTGTTGACTCTGCTTGGAGTCAGGTGCAGCGTCTGGTGGAGACGCCCAGGACAGCCTCGGCAGAGTGAGAACACTGCGGCGACGCACACGGAAGCTGCCAGGCATCGCATCCTCAGTGAGTTAAAACGCCCTCGCTGCTGACATCACCTCGTTCTCTGAGCAGCATCTCAACTGCAGGGCTGTCTGCCTGACCCCACTGGCTGGCATCCTCCAGCTGTGGCCCTGTTTCTCAGCACTTTGAAATGCTTCTGCGGCTGTACCTACTTCTCCCCTTAAAGCTACACAGAACTTCTTCCCAAGATTGCAAAGCAGACGGTCACTCCCAATTAACTTTATTGAATGGACCAAAATGCCCTTGTTATATCTTTTAAAATGCACTCACCTTGCCAGGCAATCCATTTATGGGGCGTTATAACAACATGTCTTCCTTGGGGACTGGGTCAGTTACAAAATTGGGAGAAGGACATAAGCCTTCTAGAACACACTAGAACAACGACACTGGAAATACTGGGACAACAGAGGTTCCCACCCCACTGCCCAGCTCCCCACTCTTCCTTTGTGCATCAACTATAACCAAACTCCCTTACGCTCCATAACATTTGTCCAGGGCACTCTTTCTCCCTCAGGTGTGTAACTGCATCTCCTGGGATTCCCTGGCACAGGGAAGAATGTGCTGGGGCGTCCTGACACCTACTGGCAGAGTTGGAGGCATTGGGAAGTGAGAAAGCAGGCGCCTGCAGCCTTACCCCACCCTGTTCTCTACAGAGTGGCCTTGGATCCACCCCACGGGGTATCAGCGTGACCCTGCTGCCGTGCCCTCCTCCGCCTACTACAGAATTCCAGGAACCATGCCATGCACTTTCCTTGCTCTGATAAGAAGGGGTCTAATTTAACCCCATTACCTCACTGATCCTATCTCTTGCTCATTTATCCCAAAAGAGGGTGGGAAGAGAAGGGCACTGTGCAAAAAACCTTACCCTACCTTTGTTTTTATCTATCTTTTCCTTAACTTGTCCTATGGAAGCCGCCCTCCTATGTTCTATAGGGTTTTTTTGTTTCTCGTCTGTATAGAGCCCATCCAAATTCTTTTTTTGCCCTGGGATGCCTCAACCTAAAAGCAATATTCCTGGGCCATCTCAGAGTTCTGCAGACTTGATCTCTATTACATCAATGTCCCAAGAGAAATAAACTCCGACAGCACTCTACTCTGACTGGGTGTATGCTTTCTATTTTTACTGGGTTCTATTTTGTCATCCTTATACTGCCAACCAGGGACAGGAGCTGTCCCTGTCTCTGCAGTTTAATTCTGGGCTGATAAACATCTTTACAACTTGCTTGACTCATTTCCTTCCTTTGGCACAACTGCAACCTCAACCCTCCAGGCCCAGAATCAAAGTTAGCAAGGGAAGAAGGGGGAAAGATGGCTGTCCAGAGACATGGCTTGCCAGACAGGGAGGGAAGGAAGGGTTTCAGAGAAAGGAGAGGGCAGAGGGGACACAGTTCAGGTGCAGGTCAGAGAGAGAAGCACCAGAGCCTGATGGAGACCTCATGGAGGGAAACTGTGAAGCAGAAAAGGAAGAGGATAAAGGAAAAGAAGATATCAGTGAGGATCAAACCCAGAGAGGCTCAGAGCCCAGTGAAGAGATAAGGGGGGATCCCTTTCTTCCTCCCACATTCCTTTGGTGATCACCAGGCTACCACGTTACTTGGAAGCTTTTCCACCCTCATGAGCCCAAGCACTGTGGTGACCATGGAATTGAGGGGAGAACTTGCATGATCCCAGAGTTTGGACATTCTGTGCACAGTTCCCCTCCATGCCACTTTCTTCCATTCAGACTCTTGTCCTTCCCTGCCCCTCCCCCATCCGCTATAATCAGGAGAGTGGTTTGAGCTGAGAATTTGGCTAATGGCATCTCTCCCCAGCTGGCTCATCCTCTAGTCTGAACAATGGACAAGCCCTAAACACCAGAGGCCTGGGAACACCAAACACTGGGAAGCCTGGGACAACCACCTCAGTGGGTCCTAGATGGAGGGGAGAACCTTGATGGAGCAGCAACTCTGGCCTGCCAAATGGACCCTGGGCCACTAAGACAAATCCTTGCCTATGCAGCTGTGCATCAGCAGTCCCCATGCTGGTGAACAGCTCCCCCAACTTGACGGCTCTGCCCCTGAAATACCCAGAGCCAATTCTCACTGTGCCTGAGTCTGAGGCTTTGCCTCTGTAGTTCCAGGACCGCTGCTGGGCCTACGACTCTACCCCTGAGATTCCAGAGCTGTGTCTGGACCCCAAGATTCCACTACTTAGTCCCCACCACTACTGCTGGGCCACCACTACTGTTGGACTCAAGGTCTAACACTTCACTCAGGACCCCCCAGCCCTGAGCAGCCATCACAATGTACTTGGTTTGAGAGAGTCCCCAGCAACACAGAACAGGTGCCCTGCAATTCTACTAACCCAGAGCCAAGAGAAGAGGAGCCAGATGAGAAGAATCCAGCAAAAGAACCCTGGCAACATGAAAATACAAAATAGTTCAACACCCACAAGGGACACAACTAAACTACAGTACTGGACTCCACCCACAAGGAAATTGCTGAAATGACAGAAATGGAATTCAGAATATGGATGGCAAATAAGATGAATGGAATTGAAGAGAAAGTTGAAAACCAACAAAAAGAAGCCAAAAATATATTTCAGGAAATCAATGAAAAAGTCACTAGAGAGCTAGACAACATAAGAAAGAACATAACAGAACTTAAAGAAATGAAAGAGTCATTTAGGGAATTTCAAAACACAGCAGAAAGCTTTAATGACAGGCTAAACCAAGAAGGAATCTCAGAGTCTGAAGACAAGGTTCTCGAGACAACCCAGTCATTCAAAAAGGCAGAGAAAAGAATAAAAAAGTCAGAGCAATCACTGAGAACTATGGGACTATGTGAAGTAAACTAACATTTGAATTATAAGTGTTCCTAAGGAAGAAGAAAGAGCTAAAAGCATGGGAAACCTATTTGAAGGAATTATTGAGGAAAACTTCCCTGGTCTTGCCAGGAATTCAGACATACAGATACAAGATGGACACTGAATAAAAGAAAGATTCCTAGCAAATAGGTCATCTCCAAGACATAGTAATCAACCTGGCCAAAGTCAAAATGAAGGAGAAAATTTTGCAAGCAACAAGATGAAAGCATCATATAACCTACAAAGTAAAACCTGTCAGGCTAACTGCAGACTTCTCAGAGGAAACCTTATAAGCAAGAAGGGCCTGGGGCCCCATCTTCAATCAACTTAAACAGAACAACTGTCAGCCTAGAATTTATATCCTGAAAAAACTAAGTTTCACAATTGACAGAAAAATTAAGTCTTTTCCATATAAGCAAATGCTGAGGGAATTTACTATGGCCAGACCTGCCCTACATGAAATACTCAGAAGAGCGCTATACACAACAAATACCCACCAGTGTAAATTCACCTAAAAACCCCCCAAAACTCACAACTCTTGTAACAACAGAATAAGAGGTAAAACAAAGCTATAAGGGACTATCCAACAGGATGAACAGATCAGCATCTCACATACCAATTCTATCACTCAGCATTAATGGACTGAATGCTCTTCTCAAAAGACAGACTGGCTGAATGGAGGTAAAAACACAACCTAGGTATCTGTTGTCTTCAGGAAACACATCTAAACCACAAGGACACACACTGATTCAACATGAAAGGATAGAAAAAAATAATCCACACAATTGGAAAATAAAAGAGAGCAGGTATAGCCATTCTCTTATCAGACAAAATTGACTTTAAAGCCAACAAGGGTAAAGAAAGACAAAGAGGGTCATTATATAATGGTAAAGGGAGCAATTCAACAAGAAGACACAACAATCCTAAATATATCAATATATGTGCCCAACACAGGAGCTCCCAAATACATAAAACAAACTTTACAAGAGCTAAGCAAAGAAATAAATAGCACCATAATAATTGCCGGGGACCTCAACACCCCACTGTCAGAGCTCAACAAATAATCAAAGCAGATAATAAATAAGGAAACAGTGGACTTAAACCAAACTCTAAATCAACTGGACCTAAAAGACACTTACAGAACACTCTACCCCAAAACTACAGAATACGTATTCTTCTCAGCAGCACATGGGACATTCTCCAAGATTGATCATATCTTAGGCCACAAAACATTTCTCAACAAATTCAAAAAAATCAAAATCATACCATGTACCTTCTCAGACCATAGCAGAGTAAAACTAAAAATCAATTAGAAGAGAAACACTCAAACCTACACAAAGTCATGGAAATTAAGCAACCTGCTGCTGAATGATTATTGGGTCAAGAATGAAATTAAGATGGAAATCAATGAATTCTTTGAATGAACTGAATGACAAAGAGGACACAAGCTATCAAAAATCTATGGGACATAGCAAAAGCATTCCTCAGAGGAAAATTCACAGCCTTAATAATGCCTACATCAAAAAGACAGAAGGATTGTAAATTAACAATATAATGTCATACCTCAAGGAACTAGAAAAGGAAGAACAAACCAAATCCAAAGTCATCAAAAGAAAAATAACGAAGGACAGAGCAGAAGTAAATGAACTGGAAAACAAAAAAATAATACTAACGATTAAAGAAACCAAAAGTTGGCTCTTTGAAAAGACAAACAAAATCAACAGACCTCTTGCCAGATTAACCAAGAAGAGAAGATAAAGGACTCAAATAAGCTCAATCAGAAATGAAAATGAAAAAGTGATGAAAACTGATACTGCAGAAATATAAAATATCATCCATTAGTATTATGTAAATCTCTACGCTCATAAACTAGAGAACATAGAGGAAATGGACAAGTTCCTGGGAACACACGACTTCCTAAGACTTAACGAGGAAGAAACAGAACTCCTAAACAGACCAATGATGAACAATGAGATAGAAACCATAATAAAACACGCCCCCCCCCCAAAAAAAAATCTCTGGACCAGATAGATTCATAGCCAAACTCTATCAGACCTACAAAGAAGACCTGGTACCCATAATACAGAAATGATTCCATAATATTAAGAAGGGATTCCTCCCCAACTCATTCTATGAAGCCAGTATTACCTTGATACCAAAGCCTGGAAAGGACACAACAAAAAAAGAGAACTACAGAATGGATATCCCTTATGAATATAGATGTAAAAATCTTCAATAAAATACTAGCAAACCAAATTTAACAGCACTTGAAAAAAAAAATCTACCAGGACCAAGTGGGCTTCATCCCAGGGATGCAAGGATGGTTCAATATACATGAATCAATAAATGTTATTCACCACATAAACATAAGCAAAAACAAAGACCATATGATCATCTCAATACAGGCAGAAAAAGTATTTGACAAAATCCAGCACCATTCATGACAAAAACCCTCAACAAACTAGACATAGGAAGAACATATATCAAAATTATAAAAGCCATATAAGACAGACCCACAGCCAACATAATACTGAATGGAGAAAAGTTCAAAGCGTTCCCCCTAAGAGTTGGAACAAGACAAGGATGCCCACTGTTACCACCTCTATTCAACATAGTGCTAGAAGTCCTAGCCAGAACAATCAGGCAAGAGAAGCGTATTAAGGGTAGCCAAATCAGGAAAGACGAGGTCAAACTATCACTCTTCACTGGTGATATGATCTTGTATCTAGAAAACTCTAAAGATTTCAACAATAGTCTTCTGGGACTGATAAACAAATTCAGCAAAGTCTCAGGATACAAAATCAATGTACATAACTCAGTAGCATTTCTATATACGAATCACAGTCAAGCTTAGAATCACATCAAAGACTCAATACCATTCCCAATAGCTACAAAAACAATAAAATACCTAGGAATATATTTAACCAAAGGGGTGAAAGATCTCTACAAGGAGACTATCAAACTCTGGGGAAAGAAATCACAGAGGATACAAACAGATCTAGAAAAAAATACTTCTATGCTTCACTTGGAACCCAAGAAAAGAGCCCAAATATAGCCAAAGCAATCTTAAGTAAAAGGAACAAATCAGGAGGCATCACATTACCCGACTTCAAACTATACTACGAGGCTATATTAACCAAAACAGCACAGTATTAGTACAGAAATAGAGACACAGACCAATGTAATAGAATTTAAAAACCTAGATATAAAACCACCTACCTACAACCAATTGATCTTGGACAAAGCAGACAACAATGTACACTGGGGAAAAGAAGTCCTATTACAAAATGGTGCTGGGAAAATTGGATAGCCACATGCAGAAGAATGAAACAGGACCCCTACTTCTTACCACTCACAAAAATTAATTCAAGATGGATAAAAGACTTAGATCTAAGTCATAAAACCACAAGAATTCTAAAGGAAAATATACGAAAAACTCTTTTTGATATTGGCCTAGACAATTTATGACTAAGAACCCAATGGCAATCATTGCAACAATAAAAATAAATAAATGGGATTTGATTAAACTAAAAAGCTTCTACACAGCTAAAGAAATAATCAACAGAGCAAACAGACAACCTACAGTATGGGAGAAAATATTCACAAGCTACACATCTGATAAAGGGCTAATAACCAGAATTTACAAAGAATTCCAGCAAAACAGCAAGAAAAAAAATACACAACCATATTAAAAAGTGGGCAAAAGACATAAACAGAAGCTTCTCAAAAGAAGACAAACAGCTAGTAAACATATGAAAAATGTTCAACATCACTAATCAGGGAAATGCAAATTAAAACCATAATGAGCTATCACCTTACCCCAGTCAGAATGGCTTTTATTAAAAAGTCCAAAAACAATAGATACTGACATGGATGCAGAGAGAAAGGAACACTTATATACTGCTGGTGGAACTGTAAATTAGTACAACCCCTATGGAAAACAGTATGGAGATTTTTCAAAGAATGAAAAGTAGACCTACCATTTGATCCAGCAATCCTGCTATTGGGTATCTACCCAAAGGAAAAGATGACTTTTCATCAAAAAGACACCTGGACTCAAATGTTTTATTGTAGCACAATTCACAATTGCAAAGATGTAGAATAAACCCAAGTACCCATCAATTCATGAGCAGATCAATAAGATGTGTTATGTGTACACCATGGAGTACTACTCAGCCATAAAAAGATGAATTAGTATTTTTTTGCAACAATATGGATGGAACTGGAGACCATTCTCCTAAGTGAAATATCTTAATAATGAAAAAACAAGCGCCACATGTACTCTACTATTAAATTGGAACTAACCTATGAGCACACATGTGTACAGACAGAAGTAAAACTCAATGGAAATCAACCAGGAGGAAGGGAGAGGAAGGAGAGGGGGGGAAAGCCTATATAATGGGCACTATGAACACTATTTGGGTGATGGGCACACCTATAGCTAGGACTCAAGCATTACAAAAGCAATCCATGTAACCTAAAACATCTGTATCTCCTTAATATTTTGCAATAAAAAAAAAACAAGTAAGTTAGCAAGTGAGAGGGGCCCTTGAGACTATATTCCTCATCCTGGCTAGTGGACAATTAGGAATTTATGTGCAAAAGAGCCAGCAGAGAAAGATATGGAGTCAGCATGTCAAGGAAGGTGAGAGATTGGTTAAAGTCAGCAGGCTTGGGCTCTGCCAGTAACTCTCCTGTGATTTTTGAGGATTAGCCTTTTTTCTAGACTCAGTTCTCTCATCCATACAGTTTAGAGGCTGGAGTAATGGCTCTGCTGTCCAAGGAAAGTTACGTCTGTCGTGTCATAGCGGACAAGGCCCTCTACCTGGCTTGCGCTTACCTTCAGTTCCTCAGGAAAGGGCTTCTCTTCTGCCAACTTCCCCACTTCCGGCATAGCTGTCAGGAACAGAAACTCCTGTTTGGCACTGTACACTGGAAGACAGAGAGGTTAAAGTGTCTTCTCAAAGAACAACAGGCACACAGAACAATGGGACACAGAAGCCCCAGAAATAGATCCACACGGAGATGCCCAACTGATTTTTGACAAAGGTGCAAAAACAATTCCATGGAGGAGAACAGTCTTTTCAACAGATGGTACTAGAGCAATTAGACATTTATAGACAAAAAAATTGAACCTTTATCTAAACCTTACGCCTTATTAAAAAATTAAGTCAAAATGGATCACAGACTTAAGTGTGAAACATGAAACTATAAAACTATTTTTAAAAAACAACAGAGGAAAAAATCTATTCTGTGAAACCCATTTGAAGAAGAAGAAAAAATAAGCTACAGATAGGAAGAAAATATTTACAAGCCACATTATCTGACAAAGGACTAAACAGGGGTCCTCAAACTTTTTAAACAGGGGGCCAGTTCACTGTCCCTCAGACCGTTGGAGAGTGAGCACTGTGGGCCCAGGATGAGTCGGCTGCTAAGCAGGACAGCCAGATAAATGTCCTAGGCTGGCGGTATGTGGCCCTCAGGCCGTAGTTTGAGGACGCCTGATCTAGAATATATAAAGAACTCTCAAAACTCAACAGTTAAAAAACTGAAACAATCCAATTAGAAAATGGGCAAGAAATGCAGTATTCCATGTTACAGGATATATACAGACAGTAAATAAAATACATTAAAAAATGTTCAACATCATTAACTGTGAGACAAATGCATATTAAAACCACAATGAGATATCACTACACTACTTATCAGAATGGCTACAATAAATAAATAGTAAAAATACCAAAAGTTTGGTAAAGACAGGGAGAAACTTGGTAAGTAGAACAGCAAATCTGGAAAACCTTTTGACAGTTTCTTGAAAAACTAAACATGCAACTACCATACAACCCAGCAATTGTACTCCTTGGCATTTCATCAGAGAAATGGAAACACACAAAAAAACCTGTACACAAATGTCCACAGCAGCGTCATGTGTAATAACCCCAAACTGGAAAGAGCCTGGATATCCTTCATCAGGTGAGTGGTTAACAAACAGTAGAACATGTACACCGTGGAATGATACTCAGCAATAAGGAAGAATCCACTGAAGCAAGCAACAGGTTGGGTGAATCTCCAGGGAAGAATTATCTTGAATGAAAAAAGCCAATCCTAAAAGATTACAATACTGCATACACAACATTCTTGAAATGACAAGATTATGGAGAGGAGAACAGACTAGTGGTTGCCAGCGGTCCAGGCTATAAAGGGAATGAGGAGGGACCCTGCAGAGACAGGAGCAGTCTGCATTTGACTGTACCCCGGTCTGCATCAGGGCTGTGATTCTGCACTGTAGCTGCAGGATGTTACCACTGGGGGAATTGGGTGAAGGGAATGTAGGATCTCTCTGTTATTTCTTACAACTCTATGTGACTCCACAATGATCTCAAAATAAAAAGTTTGATTTAAAAAAATCCAAGTCAAATTAGGGCTTACACAAATTGTTCTTGGGGAAACTTCTGGCATAGAATTTAAGGATAATCTTTAACGCTCTGTAAACAAACATTTAGTTTCAAAGTTCTGCAAAGCCTAATACATAATTAGAAAGAAAAATTAGGTATCAAAGCATAAAAATTGGTCATACAAAGGTATGTTTCACTTTTTAAATTTAAAGTAAAACCTTCTCCTCTTGCGTCATTAAAATCCACACTTAGCACACAATTGTCCTGTAGCCCCATACCTGGCTGGCTGTTAAAGGTCCCTTCCTCCCTCCCGCACTCCAAGTGGCCTCTATGCCCACCTCCTTTCTTCTAGGAGGAACAGATCCTATGAGCACCCTGACTATAACAATACTCCCATCTGTCTCTTATACCTCAGTTACTTGATTCTCATGCAATCTCTCTGCTGCACATCTTATGAATCCCACTAGAATCTTTCTTCCTTTTTTCTATGGTTGAGTCTGCATGCAAACCTAACCAGAGCTGCATGCAGGAGCTGTTCTGCTTTACTGCAGATAAAGACAAAGAGCACTACGCATGCTGTAAAAATGGACCAAGGCATCGGTGCCCCCGCCCCAGGGCTCTGAGACACACTCTAGGGGCTCCTGGAGACCCATGTGTCTGTCCATCATCCTCTATCATAACCTTGTCACCTTGGAACCTCTTAGCACTGACACGCTAACTGGGTTTCATAGAAGCCTAAGCTTCCTTAATAACATTTGACAGGGAAACATATCTTGAAGTCTAAATAACTGACAATGAACTTTTGAAAAGCAACCTATTTAATACCTCAGAACCATGTAGAGTGGTTTTGGCAACTGTGAAATATCTCACCTTCTGAAACCACACACACTGCCAGTCAGTCCCCAATTTTAACATTTTTATGATTTTAAACTTCCTGGTATTTGCATCCCCACCTCACCCAACCCTGATTCCACTACATTCAGATAAAACTGATTACATCGTTTACCTCTGAATTTCTTTTTCTGTTACTTTGTCAAGAGCTGTTTATTTTCTGACAAGAAGAGAAGAGCTGTTATTATTCTGTTACTGTGTCAAGAGCAGACACACTGTTCCCACTGTGATCACACAGGGGTCCCTCCTTCCACCTGGAGCCCCAGGAGAAAGTCTCCAGCTCCAGGACTTTGGATTCTGATCCTCAACGTATGGCCAGGTGTCTGTCTGCATGATGTCTTAGCTTACTTTTCTTACAGGCATCATGTTTGTAACTTTTTACAAAATGTCTGAATTTGTCAAATGATGTGCTGCTTTGTTTTTCTAGAACAATCACAGCCCCTCCTCTCAGTGACAACACTGTGTACCAGCTGAAGCCTCATGACTCCATCACACGTATGTCCTTTGTTCCCAGCACGTGCTGGCGTAGGCGTGAGAGGACAGCCAAGTCGTGGGCTCTGCTCTCCGGCAGCTAACACCAAATTGAGGGGCTGCCACAAGGCAAACGATTGGGAAAGGAAATCAAACAGGAGAGAAAAGGAAAATCAGTGTCTATAAACACACACCAGATCCACAAGGATGTCATTGTTGATTTTGAGTCTTGACACATCATGCCATCAAATATTCCCATTGCTGAGCGGGATTTATTTCCCTGTGATAAAGTCTAGTTACAACACCTGATACCAGTTCAACATGGTCTGAAATTTGTAATTTCAGATCATACTGAAATTGTATTGAGGATAAATCATTGCCACAAATATCACTGCGGCTCCACTGCCAAGCTGAAGAGAGATAATAACACTATAAAAAAATGACAAGTGTTGCTTTAAACAGCAGTTCAAGACAAACGTGCTCTCCCCATCAGCTCAAGTGACAGGAGAAATCACAAAGAACAGGTAGGCGAGAAGAAAACACATGTGTCCACTGACTGGGATTTTGGAGCAGGGCCTGTTTCCCAGAAGACAGATCTGAAAGGAGAAGCCCCCAGAGACCAGGGACTTTCCACCTGCTTCACAGGAAAGGGAAGCTCATCACAGAGGACACTCTTGTGCTATAAGCTACTTCCTGTAATGATAATTCACAATGGGCTTTTGGTTCAGAGGCAGAAACACTGTGAACACGTGTGAAATAAATTCCAACATGTGAGAAACCCCACGTGGCTAAATGTTTACAAACCTCTTTCAGTTTCCTGCACCATTCCAAGATCCAACAAGGCTGACCTTGATCTGCCAGGACCAGACGCACTAAGCCACAGTGGCCCAGGGCAGGACCCCAGGCGGAGATGCCGACACTAGCCTGGCCCAAGGCCCTCTCTGTTGGCTGCAGGGGTGGGTGCTGGGTGTGTAACTTCTCTGGGATGCTTGTCTGCTGTCCAGAAGACAGCCTGCGTGTCAGCTCGCTTTCTCCCTCTGAACTCAGCTACTGAACACCACTTTCATGATCCTTACCAGGAATTTCTGGACAGTTAGTTAAGATCCTGTGTGCATCAAGATGGGCTGACTGTGCTGTGGTAACCACTCCTCATTTTCAGTGGGCCGACAACAGAGGGCTCTCGCTCCCTAAGTTCACTGTACATCTCCAGGCCGACAGTGTCCTCACTCAGCAGCACCCCTTTGGGGTGAGGGGGAGCAGGGCTGACTGTGCATTGTCCCCAGGAGTGGCCCATGCCACTGCACTCCCATGTCACTGCACCAGCACCCACATGCCACTCCACACTTCAGAGGGAAGAGGTGTGCCTACCACTGGCCATAAGGCAGACAGCTGGAAATATTTGGCAGGCAGTACTAAGGGTGACTGCAGACCTTTCCTCCAGGTTTAAAGTTCTCATGTCTTTCATCTTTCTTCATAGGTGTTGCTTCCTATCACTCTTTTTCTCCCCTCCACATGCATCTACACTTTTCTTCTACTGCATCTACACTTTTCTTTTTGTTTTCCAAGCCCACAGCACCCAGTGTTTACAAGCAGTCTCCCATCCAAGTACTAACTAGGCCCGACCCTGCTTAGCTTCTGAGATCAGCATCTCTACTTTTCTGGAAACATTCAGCAAACTTGCTACATCAAAGCAGAATGAAACCCTGTTAATCAGACACCAATGGGAATGAGGTGTTCTTCAGAGATAATTCTGCCAGATAATATTAAAACACAAGGCACAGATTTTATTTATTTTTGATAGAAGCCCTAAAATACATTACATACTCCTACTTTCTTAAACAAAATAAACCATGAACAATTTAACCTCATGACCTGCCTTTTGAGTGCCTTCCTTATGGGGCGGTAGCATTTCAGGGAACCGTGAGTAAAACCTATTTCTTATTCTCGGCAGTTCTTTGTTTCTCTTTCCATTTCCCCCAGCTATGATCTACATTGTGGTTCACAAATGGAACCCAGTCCTAGACATTCTAATTCACTTGTTCTCAAGCAGCGGAAGGTTTACAAAGTCCTCCAGATGACTCTGAAGTGCCACCAGGATGAGAACCACTGCTCTTGGTCTTCGGGAAGGACTGCCATTATTGGTGGTGTGTCACTGTGCTGAAGTTGCTGCAGAAACATCCAAACTATCAAACTGAGATAATCATCGCAAATTCTAACAATCCTCAAGAATCAACCCTTGCTCTGGATGATGGAGCCCCAGTCCCTGGTATGAGTGTGATGCTCCGTGATGCACCAGCCACCCCGGATACCTGCAGGTGTAACACTATCTTCCCAAGGCTGTGTAAATCCCACAGGTTTTCTCACGAGGACCCCTGGAATAGGAGGCAGGGCATGTGACGACAGCCAGGCAAGGCCCCAGTATCAAGTGCCTGGTAACTGTCACTGATGCAAACTGTGCAGGGAGAAGCCCCACATGGCTAATTTCAGGGTGTCCCTCTTTTCCCTGCAGACCTGCCTTCCCACCTTCTTGTCCTTCTATAGATGTAGTGAAGCAGAGAGAGGACAGGGCAGGAGGTAGGGGCCTCGGGCAGCCCTCAACACAGCCAGGGACACGTCTGGGAGCTCTCTGGGGGGAAGCAGGGGCCTAGAGCCCACAGGTCACACAGACAGCACACGTCGGGAAAACTGCTGATGCAGATGCATTTCTAAGGGCTGCCATCAGCAGAAGAAAGTGCAAAGCACCATGCAAAATAAAGACCCAAGTGCCTCCCAATCACAAGTTCTCAGGCCCCTCTACAGCTAAACATGTCACCCCCCCATACCTGCTTTACCTCCTGCTTTACCTACGTGCCTGCCCACCTGGCCACTAAAGGGAGTGGCTTCAGGGCTGCAGAGCAGGTCGGACCTCCCTGCATACGCCCAGCACTTCACCCAACACAGAGTGCCTTACCATGCTCAGGCCAGTTGAAGAGGCTGCCAGAGCAGGCACTGTATCTACTTTGTAGAAAAAACATTGTGGCTTAGGTAAGCAAGTGACAACAGCATGAAGTAGAATCAGCAATTCTGAGACTGAATGTGACACTCTTTACATGTCCTCATCTGAAGGCCTACGTAAAGGGGAGTTAAAAAATCCTACACGGCAACCTGACAACATACTTTTAAATTACCCTCTTTCTACTGTACTGAGGGTGACCTTCAAACACGTGGCCACCAGTGCAGAACACCAGATGGCACAGTGACTGTGCGTCTGTTATGATGACACGAGGCAGAGAGAATTCCCAAACCAGGAGCCTGCAAGATGCCTTACTGCAAGGCATACGGCCTTGCTGGAAGGGGCCCTGCTCCCTGCTCCTCGGGTACCACCCTGGCTTCAGCCACAAAGAACACCTTCCACCCTGGAGAGATGGTACTTAGAAAAGATCCTTCCATCCTTTAAATTGCTCCTCTCACACCTCTGTAACATGAAGGATTTGGATGTCATGACCTCTAAGGTCCCTGCTAGACATTAAAGTCCTTGGATTCTGTGACATAGGTCTTCTGTGCATGCACCTAGGAACAGTGTGACAGCAAGGTGTGAATTGGCCAAAATTCATTCCACCACAAAGCACACTTACCATCTGGGTCTTTAAAGGTCAACGTGATGAACTTGCTAGCCACCATGAACATGAAAATCACCCAAAAGCATGCGGCCAACAGAAGCCACTGGTGGTGCATGTTGTCAAATGTCAGCCATTCAACGATTTTCCTGGAAAATACAAGCAAGATCCCCCTGCTGCTTACAAATAAACCAATTAAACAAAAAGCAATAAAGACAACAGGTGATTTCAGTTAATACTATCAGCAAAAATAATTTTTTTCCATTGCTACAACAGGTAGTTTGACTTGGCATTTAACATTTCATATTTAATTGATATTAATAAATGATTGATTTAATAATAAAATCAAATTTAGAATACCCTTACAGAGGGGAGTGATAATGAGAACGCCATCTCTATTTGTTTTTGGAACATAGGATAAGATTTTACATTTGCAGATTTGCCTCCTGACTCCTGCTGGGCCCAGGCTAATGTCGTGATGAGCTCCCTCAAGGGCCCAGAGTAAGCTGGCTGCCAGCAGTCCTGGAAGAGGACTGCCAGCAACTAGACCTCTGCTGGGGGTAGTTCACAGTGGGCAGAAGCCACACTGAGGCCATTACAAGCTGGCTGTGCTTACAACCTGACTGGCTGACAAGATGTGGCTACACAGAGACTCTCTCTAAAATCAAAGTAGTGAACACCCACACTTCTCTCCTGCGTCTTACTTGCCTGCGAGGGCCTGTGCAGAACCTTGGGGGTGGGTGTTTTTCATGCTATCGCAGCCCAGGAGTGATGTGGGGCATGTCAGTCCTCAGCCTGGCACAGAAGTCACGCTCTGCTGCAGGGGACACATAAAGAATCATGAAGTCACCCTCAATTCTCAGCAAAAGACACAAAAAAGTGTGTTTCATTTCAGCTTCAGCACAGTGCTTCTTCAAGCCAAACCAGAACACTTACAGACACCACCCTGGACTGGTTTGGTTCCCACCAGTGGATCTGGCCATCCATCACTTCTGGGCAGTAGGGAGAATTGGTCTTCATGGTGCTGATGGCAGATGACTTTGGAGATAGCTTCCCAACCCTGCATGGGTCTCAGCTCAGCAAGGACCCACGTAAATAACTCCCCTCCTTGTCTCAACAACATTTACATCCTAGAATCTCACTGGAAGCAGCATCTGGAACCTGAGTACCTTCCACAACACCCAACACCCATTAGATGTGGTTATCTAATCCACATCTGACTACAGCCTGCAACAGGGAGCTCAACACCTGCCAGGCCACCTGTGCCTTTACAGGATGGCCTGTGACCCACCCTCAGATGCCCACATATAAGGCTTTGTGTTTCCTGGGGTCACCAAATAGGGTTGCCGAAAAAAATACAAAATGCCAGTAAAGTTTAAATTTCAGATAAACAACAAATAATTTTTTTAGTGTCATATATTGCATGGGACACGCTTAGGAAAAAAATAATTTCTTGTGCCCACACATCAGGCCCAGTGTGTTCTTTTGGGTTCTCAAGTGCACACCCAGATCAAACACGTAAAAATACAGGACATTCAGTTAAGTTTAAATTTCAGGTAATTTTTTAGTATGAGTATGTCCCAAATATTACATGGGATATACTTACACTAAAAAAGCTATTTGTTGTTTCCTGAAATTCAAATTTAACTGAGCATTCTGTAGTTTATCAGCAATACTACCCAGCAGGGGCATGCCAAATCCTCTCTAACTGCCTGGAGTCAGCGTCCCATCTCTGACAAGTCTCCTTGTCCTTCTGCCATTCCTTGTCACAGGCAGCACAGCACAAAGTAAAGAGCCCTAGACTTGGTTCAAATCCCTGCTCTACCACTCACTAGCTCTGTGACTTAGCAAGTCATGTCACCTCTCTAAGCCTTTGGGATAAGGCCTTTCTCCCAGGGTGGCTCTGAGGATCTTATGAGTCATAGTAGATAAAAGAGCCAGCACCCACCCAGCCTGGTGCAGACCCTTAGCAAACATAAGCTGACCAGTTCCTTGGTGTCCTTTGTTCCAGTTCCTTTGTGACTTTCTGATTTAATTTATACCCTTCTAAGTGTAGTTGACCGAAATAAACACAATAGTGTGGTCTACCCCAAGAAGAGAGGAAAAGAGAGGGCACTCTCATCCCAGGGGACTAACTTTCCCTTCTAGGAACGACTGAGGCTTAGACTGCGGCCAGAGGATGCAGGGCCCTGAAGTCCTGAGTCCACTGAACTCGTCTGAGACAGTGACACTTCTAGGGGTCCATCCCCATCCATCCCAGTGGCAACACCTCATGGAGAAACCCAAGCTGCAAGCTTTTGCTCAGTGAGGAACAGAGGGCCCGGGGTGGGATGTGGCGGGAGTGACAAAGGTGGGGAGTTATCAAGCAGGCTGTATGCAATTCTGCAGAGAAGTCCCAGCTCTGAGTGGCCTGGAGCTTGCAACCCACCCTTTCCCAGGATAAGTGCTGGGGATGAGGGGATAAAAGAGGGGAGAACCCTGGGCCTGCCTCCCTCTGGCACACAGATGCATTCACTATGCAGGCAGGCGGGGGGATCTTGGCACTGCGCACTTCGTGTAGCCCGCTCTGCTTATTTCCTGTGTCCCTCTCAGGCTTCCCCGCTGAACACAATGTGCAGGGGTTGGGGCCGGGGGGAGACCTGCGGCCTTGGGGCCACATGTGGCTTTCTGGATCCTTGAGTGTGGCCTTTTGACTGAATCTAAACCCTTTTAGGATTTATTCTGTAAAATCTGGATTCAGTCAAGGGGCCACACTTGGGGATCTGGAGGGCACAACCTGCAGGGCTCCTACCCCCACACCAGGTGGCCTAGGGGCAGGACTTCTATATCTAGGCTGGTTGAAAAGTCAGAGCCGCACTATCCTGAAGCCACGCTGGCCTTCCTAAATATTGGATTTTCATTTAAAGTCAGGAGATTTTAGGTTCTTTTACCCAGGCTGGGGCTGGGGATTGGTCTGTACTCCTCTTCTCCCTAGCTGAGTGGGTCACGGAAAAGCTCTTTGGGCTCCAATTTTCTCATCTGTAAGGATAAAACAGCCACCTGCACGTCCCCCAGTGTGTTGTGAGGCTCCCAGGAGACACAGAAACTGTCAAAAGACCTCCTCAGCAACCATGTGACTTACAATACATCATCCAATGTGCTCTTTCAGGTGGGAATTTTGTTTTCAAAAAAGTTCAATTTCTAACATGACTTCTGTAAACTCTACTGAACTAAAACATCTAGGCAGCCCCTTCCCATCCAGCCTGGCACTGCATCAGGCAGGAGAAGGGTAACCTGCAGGGCTCCCACCTTCCTCCCATCCCCTTCTCGGCTCACCTGCTGCTTCTTGTCCCTGGGATGGTGCTCAGGACACTTGCGGATGCCAATTGGGGCTACAGATTTGGAAAGCTTCACATGCACAAACCCTAGCCCCTGCCAATCAAAACCATTCTCTTGAGAAGAGCATTAAGCCCCAGGCCCCTAGCAGTGCCTCAAGCACAGCCACCTAGACCAGAGTGCTGTTTGCCAGTGACTCTGCATCTTGCTGCAGGGCCCCTTGTAGGCCACAGGGCCCCTTGTAGGCCGCAAGGCCTGTGGGCAGTCAACACAGAACCCAGGAAGAAGCCCTCAGGAGCTGCTCCCATCCACTGGGTGCTTATAAACTTGGGGTGAGCAGCCCCGGACCCTTCCCCATGGGCGGCAGCGGAAGAGTCAGCTCTCCCTCACACTGTCCAGCTAGCACCCTCAACACTGATCTCCATCACTGGACCTTGGTCCATTTCCTTCACTGTACCTAGCATAGCCTGAATGCTTTCGCTGGGTACTGTCTGCTCCACTAGCAGAATGTGAGCTCATGCTGCTCAGGACAGCAGGGACCAGAACGGTGTCTGGCACACAGTAAGCCAACAATTGCTATCTGCTAAATGACTGTCAACCAAGCAACTTATTACGAAAACTCAGGAGAGCACAAAGGTACTTCAGGAGGCAGCTTACCTAGCCTTCTACCCAAGGGTTTCTAATTTTTTAAGTATGAGGCCCCCTTTTAACCTTAAAATATTTCTCTAGTCTACACATGAAAGTAGTTGTATATTTAATATCTATTAACTGAGACTAGAAAACAACCAAATGCTAGCAGTACTTCAGTATTGCTTGAAAGCAAAATTACATAAGTCACTTCATGTATATGCATTTGAATACACATACTACCTAAAATATATTGATTGGGATTAAGAAATGATGCCAGAGTCCAAAAAATTCTTTTTAATTTTAAGCAAAACTCTATGCTGAAAGGCAAGCCAATTATATAGATCCAAAGTGTCAAAATATAGAGATATTATATAGATCCAAATTATATAGATCCAAAGTGTCAAAATATAGCCAATTATATAGATCAAAGTGTCAAAAAAGATAAGTTGCAGGATTGAATATATGATTTGTCAAAAAAAGTTACATATGTGCGAATGTATATGATTACATATACATACAAACACAAATTACATAATGTACAGAATGAAATCTTTAGAGGATGAAGAAAGGTCTGTTTTTACTTTACACAATTTATATATTTAAAAAATGTCTGCAGTAAGCATTTATCTTTTTATAATAAAAACCAATAAAATATAGACCACATCACCTATGGGTGCTCTAGTGTTTCTATTTCTGCTGTTTAATTTTTTCTACTTCACTACTAACTGCAGTTCCTTTATTACTTTATAAAGTATGGGAAAGGACAGGAAATACTTTTCTAGCAAGAAAAAAATGTGTAGAACTGATGAAAATCAATGTTTGAGTATTTAGTAAATACATTTTTGTCTTCATTAGTTTTTATTTAGTTTTAAAAATTGGTCAATTATTTAAAGCATAAAGAAAAGCATGGAAAATAATATAACAAACATCTGTTTGCTTACACACACTGCTCTAATGGTTTTGCTGAACTTACCCAAAGTGTTGTAAATATGGCTGGAACTGCTGCCTGCCCCTCCCTGGCCTTACCCTCTGCCCTCCCCAGAGAGACCCCTTATCTGGGTGACTGTACTTACACTACATATAACTCCTCTCATTGAAGTAGCAGCAGGCAGTTTAGGAAGGTGGCAGATAAAGGCAGAGAAGACTGTGGAAAGTGGAAGGCCAGTTTACCCAAGGCCTGCGAGAAAGCTGCACTACCTATGGCTGCTTTCTAGAGAGGCAAACACCACAGGAGGAAGGTAGGAGGAAGGCCTGGGGTGGAAGGATACACAATATTTAAGCATTTATATTTTTTTCTCCTGGTCTACAGTAAGAAAATTGACACAATATATGCTAACTCAAGCGAAAAAGCTGTCAAGGTAACCTGATCAAAAATTTAGACAAATTGGGAATTATTCTCCAAGCCACATCCCACATAAGCCAACCAAAACCAGTAAGACCATAGCCTGGTTTCCTCTCAGAATACCCACTGCCCTCAGATCCAAATATCTCTATAGTTTACAACATATAACCCTCAAATATGAGTAGGTGTATACCTGCATATATGTTTAAGGATAAAATAACCTAAAAATAATTATTTATCGAGTTCATCATGAAATGGTATATTCACTCATCCAATAAAACAGGTGTCAGAAATATGACAGTGAGCCCTAAACCAAACTCACATAGCTCTTGTCCTTATGGAACTTGCAGTCTAACAGAGAGACCCTCACGACTCAAAGAACTCATCTGAGAAGTGGCGCACAGTGGCGAGAGGGACACAGGTGCCATGAGAAGAAAATACAAGGGGACATGCCCTGGGCAGAGAGGTCTGGGCCAGCATAGGTGCCTAAGGTGAAGGGGTGGGGCTCTAGGAGAGCCCTAGGAGAACAGGCCCCAGGGTAATGAAAGGAAGCCCAAGTAGCCAGGGTTTCTGGAACACAGTCAGAGATGATGCAGAGCAGATGCAGGCCAGACAGCACAGGGCCTCACAGAGCCATTTAGGAATTGAGTCTTTTCCTTGCAAGCAATGGAGGCCACTGAAGAGAGTTTTAGATGAAAAGAGGGATGGCAGTGTCATGATGGGATTTAAATTTTGAAATGATTTCTCTGGCAGCAGAGTCAAAGATGGAAAGAGCAAATGTCCACCCAGCTATTGCTGGTCTCAGGTCATTTGCATTCATGGAGGAGGGAGTATTCTAATCAGACACAGGCAAACCTGGCTAGGTGTTCCACATCGCCATATCATGGTGTTCCTAAAAACCAGCAAATGAACTAGTAGAATCCACAATATCTGATATTGGGTGAGTTTTGATGAATCCTAAAGTGTGGAGTGTCCAGCTAATCATGGTATAACTTGCTTTGAGATTACATGCATTCTGAATCCAGACGTCGACCTAATGGTGTCTAGCTTTATGTCAAGGGCAGTGAATCATAGCCCTGGCTGGACATTAGACGGATGCTATTAAGAAATATAGCAATACCCTGGGCCCCAACAACACTCCAGCCAAGACAACACAAATCTCTGGAGGTGGCACCTGGATGTGTTTCATAAGCTCTGAGTATGATTCTAAGGAGCAGCTGGGACTGAGAACTGCTGGTTCAGGTCCCAGCCCCTCTTAAAGTTTAATGAACACGTGAATCCCCCCGGGGATCTTGTTAAAATGCAGATTCTAGGCATTCTAGCATAAATGCCATTCTCCCACCACCTCCTTGCTTAAGAAGGAAAATTGGCAGCAAAAACCCATCTAGTCAAGGAGAGTCTATTGACGCTTTGAATTACATGTGTTATGAATAAACAGCTTAAAGAGGTTTAATTAGAATCTAAGACCTTCCATCACTGCCCCCAACTCACTCTCTTGAGTAACTAAAGATCTATCCATCTATAAGTAACTAGACTGTAGAATGAGGATTTGTCTGATCTTGGAAAAAAACATGATAATTTGCCCCATTTTTCAAACAAAAAGAATAGAATTCCAAATTCACTTAGCCCCAGCTCCTCTAAGGCTGCCCCATTCTCTGCACTGTTTCTTTGAATACAGGATATTTGCTTCCTGTACGCCGATGACATCACCAAGGCTCACTATTTCAGCCTGCCAGGGGCCTTACATGGACAGTCCTCCCTCAGGGCTCTGCTTAAGGTCGCTGCTCTCCCTACAGCCAGGTGACAAATGGCCTTAGAAAAACCTGACATTTTCTGTAATTAATTACCTTTTGTTCAAGGAGTCAAGACAACTCCCAATGTGCCACCTGCAGCTAATGGTGGTAGCAAACCTGAGCCTGCCCCTCATCCCCTCTGGTAATGATGAGGCCCTGAACAAAGCCCCTCAGCGCCCCCAAGAGTTACATCCATTTTTAGAGTTTTCCTACTTCCAGTTATTAAATGAGATTCTCATGTGTCAAGATGTCAGGATCTGAAACCAGATGGTCAGCTCATTGAAAACCCACAAGGCAGACCTGGCAGTTAAAGAAATTAAGAACTTATGGGGAAAACAGAGTCAGGGAAGAAAGAACCTGCAAGAAGCCCTAATCTTCCCCCCCCCTCCTAAAATAAAAGAAAGACAGCACACATTTTACATGTTTGTTATTACTAACAATGGATATGTTACTACTGCCATCTTTGGATGCACATTCTCCTTCCCCTGAATCTTGAAAAGATGCTTATAAATTCATTTGCTCAGCGGCCAATAACATTCCTTCCTGCCACTGGTTTCCCCACCATGTTTGAGTTGTCACCCATAAGTACATGCTCTTCTTACTCTGCTGAAGATTTGACTCCCACCTACCAGGCCCCACTTTGCACATCTGCTTATTAAAGGTTCTGAAAAGTCCCACGGTAAATAAGCCCATTTAACTCAGTCTAAATAGCCTTTTTCCAGATGTTTATTCATTCAGCAATATTAACCAAAGCCTTCCTCTTAGCTGGTGGGGCTACAGCAACACCCATTCCCTGCTCTCATGGGGCCATAAACAAAAAGTGTGATGAATGCATATGACCAAGCCAGTGGGCAGGTGCAATGGCTAGCAATAAAGAAGGGTGCAGGATGACATGGGAAGAGGTAGACAGAGTGAGGGAGCAAACTAAATAGACCCCTGGGCAAAGACCTCAGTCTGGTTCTCAGAATTCCAAAAGTCATAAGGAGGCAAGTGTCCCTCACACCCAAGCCCATCACACAACCTCCTCCCAGGAATCACATGTCCAGTGCTCAACTTTTAAAACGTCCTTTTAAAACACACCCAGACACTAAAGGAAACGTCTTGAATAAAACCTGTTAAAGCACAAGGAACAGGTAACCTTTGGAGAACTATAGGGGAGAAGGGACAGTCCAGGGCTGGAGCAACAGGACTATTTCATCATCAACCCTGTTGTATTTTCTGAACTATAACCCATTACCTGATCAAAAGAATTATTAAATTACAACTTAATAAAGCAAAATATTGCACAAGAATTTATATTATAGATACAGTTCTACTACATGTCACAGATTTTTAAATTTATAGTAAGGGTTTCTCTCAATCTATGTTCAGAAATTTCCTTTGTCTTCTCTATTGTTGTCCTTACAATTTACTACCTTGGAATGACTGATCACCCTTAGTCAGCAGAATGAAAACACACTCCGAGCTCTGTCCAGTGAGGAATATATTTGCGGTGAAGACAGATTCTCATGAGCAATAATAATAATATACAGCAAACATCTGTAAGAGACTCACTGCATGCCAGGCACAGGGCTCAGCAGAGACGAACTCATATAATCCTGGCCTGAGAGTATGCTCGTATTATCGTACTTAAGAAAATCCTTCTTTGTATATGTGTGTATCCTCCTATTCAAGAATTTTAAGTTCCCTAAAATCTTTGTACAAGGAAGAAAGGAGGGAGAAACAGTACTGAATGGCATGGTCTCAAATAACTGGGGAGCTCACATTCTCCTTCACATACCTTCTGAGGCCTGGGGTCACATTTCCTTGCTGTGTTTGCCCAGACTGAGGTTCCTGGTTCCTCTTGTCACTGTACAGGATAATTAAAAAAAAAAAAGTGTCATTAAAAGCTATAAGATCAACTTACTTAACACAACTTGGTTTATACCTGGGAGATAGTTAACCACTTTGATTATTCAAGCATATTTTGCAAAACAGGTATTCTATAGAGGCAGGACATACAGGGATTTCTTGATAAATGAATAAATATTCTAAATATACCAAGAGAGCTAGCTGTTTAAAAAGACTCTTCCATGTAACTTAGTGTGAAAAATATTTTTTGTAGCAAAAACCATCAAATCTAGTTATACCTGCTTTACATGTTTGATATAAGTAAAGGATTCCTGTATAAGATTATCAAATTTTCCAATACAATATATTCTCTCAGTTTTGTATTCCTTCAACCTTTAGCACCTGGCAAATTCTAGCCAAATGTCATATAATGAATGAATAATTGGAAAGAAGCCAAATTCACAGAATTAGATTACTGATTTAAGAGAATTAGGTAGCAAAATAAACATACAACTCATTTAACATACAATACAGCCCAAGCTGACTGGGATGCACAAAGCACTGTCTAGCTATGCTTCCTTTTACTCTAAGAACTCAATGCTGAAATTAAAAACAATTTCATGCTATATAGATTAAAATATTAAGCTTTATATAAAGTCCGGCATCGCTTACGAGAGGACACATTCTGAGAAATTCGTCATTAGGTGATTTTGTCCTTGTGTGAACATCACAGAGTGTACTTACACAAACCTAGATGGTACAGCCTACCGCACACTTAATGGCACTGCCTATTGCTCCCAGGCTACAAAGCTGTACAACATGTTACTGTACTAAATACTGTAGGCAACTATGCACAATGGTAAGGATTTGTGCATCTAAACATTGAAAAGGTAAAACAAAAATACAGTATAATCTTATGGGGCCACTATCATGTGTACTCTGTCATTGACCGAAATGTCATTATACAGCACATGACTATACTCACGTCCAGATTTTTCCAGACCTGTATGAGAAGAAAATGAATTCCTTGGTTTCTGCAATCTCTAAGGTCCTGCATTCACCTCACTCCTCTGTTCCTATTTCTGGCTCTCTCCCACCTTTTTATTGAATAACCTTCTCAAGCATTTTGAGAAAATGACTTGACTATCACTGCAAGTTGCTCATGATATTTACTAATTCTTTCCTTTCTTTGTTCAGTTTTGCTAGCACTACAATTTTCATTTCAGGGAAAGAAAGAATTTTTCTCTCAGGTATTTCTTCAAGATTCTATTCTTCAGGGTCAAGAGCAAAGATGGAAAGATTTTCTTTCCATCTTAAAATTCTAATTCTGAGCTAAGATGGACTATGCCGTAATTATAATAGGCAGGAGAAGGGGGAAGACCACTTCTCTCTATTTACGTCTTTTCTTTTTAACTCAGTCACCGAAAAGAGTGAAGAAGTAGACGGCTGGTGATCAGCAAGCTGGAGCTGAATCAGTGGTGTCTGAGACATTTCTCACTCTGGCAGTTAAAACTGAGCAATGCAATAACCCAACTCCTCATGGCCCAAAGCCCCAGACTTTGGTGTTTCAGACCAAAAAAACACAAAAAAAACAAAAAACCTTTTATGACAGTCCTGCTGCATAGCTAACCAGAACCTGGCTGTGCTGCTTTCTATTCACTGCCCAGCCCTTTCCTGGCAGACTTGGAAAACCTGGCTCACCTTCCCAGCCAGAAGTGCAGAAATTCATGCCTCAACCTCCAACTTCTGACAGGCCTCCTGACCGTGAAAATGGAAGGCTGAGGGCACTCTGGCGCCCGCCTGGCAGGGAGTGTGCATTCCCAACCCTGCCTACCCCTCGCACCCACCAAAGCGGTGCTCCTCAGAAAGGCTGCACATTTGCACATGTTCCTACTTCCCTGCCCTCTCTCCCTCCCTCTCTCTCTCTCTTTCTCTGCCTGCTCCTTCCACCCGAGTGGAACATTTTCTTCCTCTCTCCGCCGCCAATTACAAATGCAAATTCCCAGGATGCGAGAAGTAAATTATAGGATCGCGCAAGTATCAATAACTCGGCCGACCACAGCATCCGTGCACACCTTAATGCATAATTAACGCGACGAAGGCTCTTCCCGTTAATCCCACGGACTAGCGAGGTCCTCAAGTCGCCAAAACACACCGGGATGCGGCTCGCCAGGAAAAGAAAAAAAAAAAAAAGGGTTCTCCTATTTTTCCGACCACCGAGGGGCGGGGTAGGGGTCTCTGGGGCACTGAAACCCTCCCACCCTCCCCGCGGGTCCCCAAGCTCACCCTCCGCGGAGCCCGCGCGAGCCTGGGTCCTCCCTCAGGCTTCTCCCGCGGCCTGGGCGAGAAGCTCCGCCCGGGCCTCGCCGGGCCTGTGGGCGAAGCGCGCCGGGTCCCTGCGTCCCGGGAGCGCGGAGGCCCCGCCCCGCCCCGCCCCAGGCCACCGCCGCGCCACCGGCGGCCTCGGCGCCGCCCCCGCCGGCCCGGAGATGTGGCTGAGGCGGCGGCGGAAGGAAGGAGCGCGCGGCGCGCAAGGCCGCCTCCCTGGGCCAGGCCCGCCGCCCTCGCCCCCGCGCCCGCGCGCGCCGGCGCGCTCCGGCCCGCGCGCGTCCCCGCCGGCGTCCCCCCCGCGCGCGCTCCTGTCTCCTCCTGGGTGTTCGCTGTGTGTGGTTCGCTTTGGGCCGAGGCGTCCTATATGTGCCGTTTGGCTGTGGGTGTTCTTGTGTTTCTTGTGTCTGTGTATATATATGTCCGTTCCGTCCCGGGAAACAGTCCCGCCCGGTCTCCATGCAGAAAACAACGTTTGCTGTTTGAGAAACAAAAAAGAAAGAAATCCCGAACTTGGGAAAATACAAAAAGTTGGTAAATAATTATTCTTTTTTAAAAAAAATCCCCAAGTTGGAAAAAAAGCCAAATTGCTTGAGTTTGGGATACCTCCCAGCATTTTCTAATAAGCCCACCTAGTAAACGCACGACCTTGGATTAACAAATAACTGTTAAAGGCCTGAAAGGTGTAGAGGCCTCCAGAGTTGTTAACTTCTTAAACTGCAGAAACTGATAAGGCTGTAGGATTTTAGAACCTAGGGGAAGAGTCGATCCCAGGTATTTGGGTTTTATTGTCCTCAAAAAGGTAAACCAGTTTTATTTAGATCTAACCTACATGCTTGTTAACTACACAACTATATCTATATCTAGTTAGCAAATAGATAAAAATGATATGTCTCTGTATACACACGTGCATGCACACATAAAATTTTTGTCAAGTTTTCAAGGAACCTGCTTTTTTTTTGCCTTCCCTGTTGGTTTCCTCATTAATGAGTTAAATATAATATCGAGGGAGCTCGCTGAGAATTTCACTTTCAGCACCATTGCTAGCCATCGTGGTTTAAAAGATGACACAGTGGTTCCTTTGGTCTTTTGGTCCTTCATTCAGATGTTTATTGAGCCCTTTTTGGGGACACTGTGGTTAAGATGAGACATTTGGTTTCCCTTTGAGGATTTGAATGGACACTCATACATGGGAGAAAAGAAGTAAATTTGGAGCTTAGATGTGACATAGCATGCTATGCAGGGTTTAAGAATCCAAGCTCTGGGAATGAATTGAATCATTTGGGGATTCAAATCCTTATTCACCACATATACTTGTGACCTTGTCAAGTTCTTTCAGATCTCTGTGCCCCAATTTCCTCATCTATAAAATGGAAGAAAGTATAGCATTTCCCTCAGGGAGTTATACTAAAGAATATTGGAGATGATGCATTTAAAGTACATAGCGCAGTTCTCCCCCAGTAGTAGTAAATATTGCAATAAACACACACTGTTGTCATTATTATTATTTATTACTGCATTCCTAAGATGTTAAAAATATTAAAAGATGTAGTTCTTTCTAGAGGCTTCCATATTCGTAGCTAGGGTAACTGAGTATTTTTCTTGGAATTTCCCCAAATTATTCTAGTTCTTTTTGTTTCTATAAATGAACTTCCAGGAAAATATTAGTATTTAGTCTTTATAGCAGGAGGATGGTTGCTAAAGTAGCACTTCTCAAAGAGTGATCTGTGGACTTCCGAGGGGTCTCCAAGATCCTTTTAGGGGATCTGCAATGACAAAACTGTTTTCATAGTAATACTAGGACATTATTTGCCTCCTTTGCTATGTAGACATTTGCTCTGATGGTGCAAAAGAAAGGACAGCACTTAGCATGAATCCCAGCAGTGGAACAAAACTGAATCAGGAGTCATTTCACCTTATTTGGTCCTTCACCATTATGCACTTGCAGTAAAAACAAATTAAAAATGTCATTGTGAAGCAATCATATCCCTTGTGATGGGATGGGAAATGCACAGAAGCGCTCCTGCTGTATCACAAAAGGATGGTGGCTTGGGTGGTGGTTCCCGAAGCAGAACAACTACCTGCTGTTTTTCATGCGACATCATTTGTACTTGAAAGAAGAACTGACAGACAAAATGTGGTTACTCAGATTTGGATATTAGACAGACATTTCTCCAAAATGAATGAAATGAGCCTGTCACTTCTAGGAAAACCACTGATAGTATTTGTTGCCAGTGATAAAAATTCAGGCTTTCAAGTGAAAATTCAAACTTTTGGAAAACCTATATCTGTCACTGTGAGTTTGACAGCATCCCCATATTTAAAGAATTTTCTGATGAGATCAGAGGTGGGACTGGCAATCTTTTTGTTTTGGTATTCTATAATGATCCACCAGTTGTGGCATAATAAACATAATTTGGCCTTTGACCCTGGTTCCTGACACAAAGCTCCTAAATCCCTTGGAATTTCCTGGGTGATAGGGATGTCTTTTATTCTACTGAGGCAATTCTTGAGATGGGGACTGGTCCCTGGAAAGATCAGGCTTGGATTAGAAGCCTGGAACTTTCTGCACTATGCCCCATCCTCTAGGGAGGGGGGAGGGGCTGGAGATTGAATTAATCTCATCATGCCTACTTGATGAAACCTGTATAAAAAACCCTAAACAACAGGGTTCAGGTTGGTGAACATGTCCAGGTGCTGGGAGAGATGTGCCTGGAGAGAGCATGGAAGCTCTACACTCCTTCCCACATACCTTGCTCCATGTATCTGTCTCTTCCATTGGCTATCCTGGAGTTGTAGCCTTTGTAATAAACCCATAATAGTAAGTAAACTTTTTCTGAGATCTGTGAGCCGTGCTAGCAGATTATCATAGGGGACTCATGGGAACCCCTGATTTATAGCCAAATTGGATAGAAGTAGGGATAGCCTGGGAACCCTATACTTGCAACTGGCATCTGAAGTGAGGGAAGTCTTGGGAGTTGAGCCCTGAACCTGTGGGGTCTGACTCCAACTCCAGATAGTAGTGTTTGGATGCAACTGAATTGTAGGACATCCAGCTGGTGTGTGGAGAATCAGAGAATTGGTTGTTGGTGTTGGAAAACACTCTAGACTGATGAATTTTGATGTTACAGAGCATGAAAATGTTCATTGATAGGGTTTTGGATTCCACATAATACCAACCTTTAAAAAACTACCACTTGTTGAGTTTGGGTGTAGGAACCCAAAATACCCAGAATTATCTGAAAATTTAAAATACTTCTTCCTTTTTCTGCTTAACCATGTGAGGATTTTCTTCATATTCTTTATGCAAAAGAATATTTATTGTATTAGATCTAATGCAGAGAGAGAGGTATATGATTTCAGCTATCTTCTATTAAGCCAGACATTAGAGAGATTTTCAAAAATAAGGTAAGCAATGCCATATTTTTGTATTGGAAAATATAGCTATTTTTTTCCTTAAAGTGTGTTATTTTAAATTTCTCAGTTTTATTTTCTTCATATTGTTAGTATAAATGGATATAATCCAGATTAACAAAAGTTCTTTGAATTCCTTGAAAATTTTTAAGAGTATAAATGGGTCCTGAGTCCAAAATGGTTGAGAATTGCTGTTCTCATAAAAAACCAAATTCTTAACAGTAAAATAAAAATACACAAGATTCTTTTACCCTCCCCACACTACTAAGTGACTATTTCCGAAGTCGCAGCTGGAGATGCCTGGGCTGGAGGTGACACTGGGGAAGGATACAAGTTAACCACCAACCAAAGCCTATTGCCATCTGCTTGAACCAACTACGGCCCTTCCTGAAAGTAGAGTAATAGAACAGATGCTTCTAGAAAAACCAAGATGTCTTGGGGGGCAGGGAGGAGGTTCATATGGAGAACCATCATCCTACACAAGTAGGAATTTGCCAGTTCCTCTGAGCCTTCTGTATTAAGATTTTATAAATTCCTCCCCTGTGCTTCATTTGGTGTTAAACATGTATGGACTCAAGGTCCTTTAATGCTGGGTGCTAGAATCTGGAATTGTTTTCCCTCTGGCTGTCCCCCAACTCCTAGCCATGCCACAGAGAAGTTTTTGCAGTTTCCGTGTCAGCCAGGGGCACAGAACAAGGGACGATTCCTAGAATCTTGGCTCTCCTATTCCTGAACATTCATCTCAGGATACATAGCAAGCACCTGTTACTCAGGTTTCCCTGAGGTTCCTTATAGCTGTAAATGCCAACTTAGAAAAAATAAACCAAAAACCAGATCTCTAATCTAACCTAACCTTTCACTTTAAGAAGCTGGAAAAAGAATAGCAAACTGAACCTAAAGCAAGAAGAAAGGAAATAATAAAGAGTAGAAACAAATGAAGAGAAAAAAGAAAAATAGAGAAAATCAATGATACAAAAAGTTTATTCTTTGAAAAGATTGGCCAAATTGATATGCCTTTTGCTAAACTGACCAAGTAGAAAGAGAGGAATCAAATTACTTAAATCAAGAATGAAAGAAGGCATTATTACAAATCCTACAGAAATAAAAAGGATTATAAGTGAATAATAGTGTGAACAATTACATGCCAATAAATTAGATAACCTAATGGAATGGACAAATTCCTAGAGAGACACAAGCTAAATTAACTCAAGAAGAAATAGAAAATTCAAATAGACTATTAATAAGTAAGAGATTGAATTAGTAATTTGGAAACTTCCTACAAAGAAAAGACTAGGCCCAGTTGACTTCACTGTTGAATTCTACCAAACATTTAAAAATGAATTAATACCAATCTTTCACGAACTCTTCCAAAAAATAGAAGAGGATGAAATATATCCCAACTCATTCTATGAAGTCAATACTACCCTGATTGCAAGACCACACTTAGACATCACAAGAAAACAACAGACCAATACCTTTTATGACTATAGACACATACATTGTCAATAAAACACAAGCAAACTGAACCCAGCAACCCATTCCACCATAATAGAATTATATATCATGACCAGTGAAATGTATCCCAGGAATGCAAGGTTGCTTTAACATTTGAAAATCAATCAATACAATACACCATATCAATAGGATAAAGGACAAATAAAAATCACATGCCTAAATAGAAGCAGGAAAAGGATTTGAAAAAATTCAACTTCCCTTCATAGTAAACACATACAACAAATTAGCAATAGGAGGGAACTTTCTCAACCTGATAAACACCATCCACAAAGACCCACATGTAATATTATACTTAATGATGAAAGACCAAAAGCTTTCCCCCGAGATCAGAAACAAGATGAGGATGTCCACTCTCATCACTTCTATTCGACATTCCTCTTTCATCGCATCTATTCAACATTTTACTGGGTGTTTCCGCTAGGACAGTTAGGCAAGAAAAGAAATAGAAGGCATCCATATTGGAAAGGAAGAAGTTAACTGTTAAACGATCTCTATTTGCAGATGAAATCATCTCTCCACCAGAAAACTATTAGAACTAATAAACGAGTTCAGCAAAATTATAGGATATAAGACTAATATATAAAAATCAATTGTATTTTTGTAGA